AAGCTTCTATATAGCTGGCAAACTCCTTTTTAAACAATCACAATAAATTGAGGAGCCGTTTTCAAAATTTAGCATTTGTGAATCAAAAATGTAACTGAAATGAGTAAACAATTTGCAGTTAAGTCATCATTTTTGATGTCCAAGCATGTGTGTGTTTGCAAGTACAATTTTAAACAGGAAAAATCAAGAGAAAGCTAAAAATATATACAATTTTACAGACATTTTGTTGTTTTTAGTAGTTGACGATTTCTTTTTTCAATAATTCATTGGAATTTAACTGTATTACCTTCTATTCCTAAGTATGTTTGGTGACAAAACTCTTATTATAATAGATATCACAATTCAATAAATTAGCTTTAAATGCATCAAAACGTATGGGCTACATATTTTTTCAAAAGGGGGTGTACCCATTTATTCTGAGAACTGAGTAAAAAAAATATGAATTTAAAATATTTTAAGAATTATATTTACATTTATTTACTTATTTGTTTACCCTCATATTTATTTGCTCTTTTTCTTTTCTTTTTTGTGTACTTTTATTTATTTTCACATTTATATATTTAAGTATTTATTTATTGCATACATTTTTAGTACTACTTTTCTTCATCTTTATGGGGTAACAAGGAGCAAATGTTTTTACCACAAGAATAGCAATCAAATACAGTAAAAAAAAAAAAAAAAGTAAAGAGAAAGTAAAAAGTAAAGTACATTAACATCACTTTACAAAAAAGTATACATTTTTAAATCTTCCTTTTCCATGGGATGTCACAGAAAGCATGCATGCATATGAACAGCAATTACAATAGAGTTAATAAATACAGCTACTATTAGTTTTTTAATGCTTTGCTAATTTTAGATATCAGGACTTGAGCTCCAGGTGGGCAGTACAGATCTACTGGTGCATTTAATCTTGTTTATCTATTGTCTTGTAAATATCTGAGTGTTACCCATCCTCAGGCTTCATAACTGATTTCAATTGTGTATTACATTTTTTCATATAGTATTGTTACTGTTCACTTTCAATAAAACAACTCAATATGCAATAGATGAGTGTATGAGGACTTCATTTCTCTTTATATTGAGCAATGAAAGTGCTGCTTAAAAAAGCATTTGACATGCATGAAGACAAAGAGGTTAAAAAGTGATATGTGATTTATACATTACTGAATAAATAAGCAGAATAAATACATTTTCCATTGATGTATGAATTGTTGGAAAAGGACAATATTTGTCTGCCATACAACTATTTGAAAATCTGGAATATGAAGTTTAAAAAAAAGAAAAATCTACTTTAAATTTGTCTAAATTAAGTGCTTAGGGACACAGTGACTTAGTGTTTAGTACTGTCGTCTCACAGCAAGAAGGTCGCTGGTTCGAGCTCCGCCTTGGTCAGTTGGCTTTTCTGTGTGGAGTTTGCATGTTTTCTCCGTGTTTGCATGGGTTCCAAAGACTGTGCGGTATAGGTGAATTGAATTAACTAAATTGAGTCTGTGAATGAAAGTGTATGGATGTTTTGCAGTGCTGGGTTGCAGCTGGAAGAGCATCCGCTGCGTAAAACATATGCTGAATAAGTTGGCGGTTCATTCCACAGTGGTAATCCCTAATGAATAAAAGGATAAGCCGAAGGAAAATTAATGAATAAGTGTTTAGCGATGCAAATCAGTAATGAAAAATTGAGATTTGATTAACTTAAAGTAAAACATTTACAAAATATCTTCATGGAATATGATCTTTACCTAATATTCTCATTATTTTTGGCATAAAAAGTATATATATATACACATACATTAACTTGAAAATGAATCCAAATCTATTGTAAAACAAATATGAAACCTCAGAATGATAAAAGAAAACATTTACAACATGCTTAAATGGTGGCATCAATGTTTATTGTCAAAGTGATACATGAGTTTTACCTTAATTCAAACATTCCTTGTAAACCTAACAAAAAGAGCAGTCACACTCTTAACAAATGAAGTGGGAGTGGCATTAACAGGAAGAAGGTGATGAGTGATCCAACAAACAAAGCATATGGTGGCAACCAGTCGTTCATACAGTTGATCTGTTGTTTCTGAATATCTAAGCTGACCAAGGCAGGACTGGTGGTTACATATTTAGGAGAAGCCGGTCGGGTTTTTGGTGGATTTGTCCACCTCTTAGAGCAAGAACCAGATGCAGCACAGAGCCGCCCTGGATTTTGTAATCTGCTGCCGTTTTCTCATCATTCCTGAGGAAGAAGAGGTGGATTGTGGGTTAAAAATGTATCTACAAAGATGTACAGGAACACAACGTGTACAATGACCTACATCTGTTTCCCACTGTAGATGAGTCTCTGTTGCTGAGGTGGGATTCCTTCTTTCTCCTCCACTCGCTCTTTTATTCTCTCCACCTGAACGAGATTCACATTAAATAAATGCACACTGAATTGAATCATGTGTAAAACTGTGGCTTAAAGTGGCTAAAATCACTCAAAAATGAAGTGACTTCTAAGTAACGATTTTTCTTTTGTTAAGAATAAGAAATATATTTTGAAGAAAGCTGGAAAACCCGTAACCACTGACTTTCATAGTATTTGTTTTCCTACTATGGACATTAGTGGTTAAAGGTGTTCAGCTTTCTTCAAAACATCTTTTTTTGTGTTCAACAGAATCTCATAAAGCTTTGGGTCCACTTGAGTAAATAGTGAGTAGATTTTCATTTTTGGGTGAACTTTAAGCCCTTTAAGGCATTTTAAATCCTTTTTTATGGCATAATTGATGGCATAATTGTCCAAACTCGGTCCTGGAGGGCCGGTGTCCTGCATATATTAGTTCCAACCCTAATTAAACACACCTGAACCAGCTAATCAAGCTCTTTCCAGGTATACTCGACTTCCAGGCATGTGTGTTGGAGGAAGTTGGAGCTAAACTATGCAGGACACCGGCCCTCCAGGACCAAGTTTGGACACCCGTTTTATACCTTCTTAAATAGTTTTCCACTTACATCAAATACTTGTCAGAGATCATAAATCTGAATACACTCACAAATATAAGCACAAACTCTGTACATCCACTATGCAATATACAGTACTCAGCATATAAAAGTACACCCCTCACAAATCTCTATTTTAAATAATATTTTTAATAGGAAGCTACACAATATTATATTTGTGCATATACATTAGAGTAGTCAGTACTGAAGCCCAATCTGGAGCTAACAAAAATAACAAATCTAACAAAATAACTTACGATAACGGTCCAAAAACTAGTACACCTAAATTTATGTTATAGAAAAATATTAAATACAAATTTAAAAAAGACGAAAAATCAAGAGAAGCAAAACATTGAACATTTTTGTTAAAATTTTATAGTTTGTAATTTTTCTTGTGTAATATTTTGCTTGAATTTAATTGCATAATCCTTCAGTTTCTAATTATGTTTGGTGACTAAAATATTGTTTAATAAATATATCAATTTAATAAATCTGATTTGTTTAAATGCACAAAAATACATTGCCTATTTTCAAAATGGGGTGTACTCAAATATAGTGAGCACTTTATGCTTTCCTTTTTGTGTTCATGTACACTAATGTTATACATAATAAATTCTTTCAAAAAAAATAAAACTAAATAAAATAAGACAAAAAAAATGGGGGAGAACAAAAACGAAAAGTTAAACGAATAATTAAATAAAATAAGATATACATACACATAAGCAACAAAATGATGTACATGTAGAAAGTGATCCTTCCGATTTTAGGCTAACAGAAAAGTTCAGGTCCATGTGATGTTGCATAATTAGTCCATTTTTCCCAGAATGAAATAAAGCTTCCATTTTCTGATTTACAAATGCAGTAATTTGCTCCATTTTATAAATTTCAATTGTCATTTCCTTCCATGCATTTAGGCTAGGACTAATGCATGAGCATGCTCCAGAGTTGTTAAATAAAGATCACTTATTTGTAGAGAAATACAGGATGTCTTCCTTTTTAATAATGAAATTAATAGATTCAAGGTACTCAAAAAGACATTCATTCATTTCTTGTGAATGCAACGGATTTAATGCATGACATTAATGACTAAAGGCTTTCTGCTCTGACTGACCAGGCCTTTAATTGTAGAACAGAAATAAAGACGTTTTAAAACGTCTTTTAAACCTTCAGAAACCCTGTTAAAATGTTATACTTTACCTTATCTGTGGGTTCGATGTCAATCTCGATTTCTTTGCCCGTGAGTGTCTTTAAAAACAAGACATATGATTAGTCATTTACACACATTTCGCTCTTAATGATCTATCATCTATTACTCCACGGCTTGTTATTATATTAACCGTGCACATCATATTGTAAAAACAGCTTTTTGACAAATTTGCAACGCCCTACTACTAACGTTATATTAAATAAAATACTTAAACTACAGGCACAGCGACGAACCGACAAGAACTGTGCTGAATGAAACTGCTGTTCTGCGTTCTTTTCTTACCTTGACTTTAATTAGCATTGTGACTTCTTCTGTTTTAGAAACACATGCAGAGAAATGAAACACAAATACTGAAGCTGAAAGTTCAGATTTCTCTAATTCCCACAAATTCTCCGCCGCTCGCGGAGTTCCTGCGTCACTGCAAAATAATTCCCACCTTTCCAGTGTCTGTAGGAAGAGTTCCGAGGGCTCTGTGCAGAATAGCGGTCTTCGATAATAAGAGACGATTTGCAATAATATGTATATATATTTCGTAAAATCAAACGACTTTTATTGTATTTAATATATAAATACACATTTTACACTTTCTGAACTTTCATTAAATAAGAAAAAAAATCAGTTGAGTCCAATCTGACCGGGAAAATATGAATTTGCGACGTTTACTGCGACAGTGTGCATCGCTGTTTGTAGTTTTTCATCAAACGTTTCAAGTTGAATTGACGCACGAGATGTCAGTTCAAAGACTACATGCCCTTGACAGTCGTAAACATCCCGCTCAACTAAAACGACCGCCTTCAACCCGGAAACGAGTTTCATTCGCTCTCACATAACCCTAACGAGGAGCTGCGCGTCTACAGTTATAAGTAAGATATAAGTAAGATTTTATTTTGTAAAATGTAAATAAGGTTTTATGTAAGTTACATTAGTTTGTAATCATAGCAAAAACATTTAATGTCAAGGCGACATAGAATCAGCAATGTTGCGCTCTTTTGACCTGCAGTATCTGACAGCTACTGTCAGACATGTGCAGAACACATCACCACCAGATGTGCTTACTTTATTTTGTTTGGTAACGTTATGTGGTAAATTGTTTTAATCTGCTCTACGAAATTTCACTTTTTTGTAACTTTAATGGAAATTGTGCAATATTTAGTATTAAAAAGATTAAAATAACAATATATGTTTCCTGTCTCTCACGGTCACCCTCCTCCTCACTGATCATCTGCCATAATTGAATCAGTGGGAATGTTTTTCTTTCATTGTCTTGTGTTTTTCCAGGCAGTGTGATACGGTTGGATCAGTCTCAAGGCCAATCTCTCCAGCAGCCATGCCTCGCATTGAAAATGACATCAAACTTGACTTCAAGGATGTGCTGCTTCGACCCAAGAGGAGCACTCTCAAATCTCGCAGTGAGGTGAGTCAGACACCTGTGATTATGGCTGCAGACATTGGAAAAATGCAATATTTTGTTATTCTGCGATATATATATATTGCGAAATGAATACAACTTGACCAGATGACTTGAATATCTAAATTTGTAAGGAATTTATAAGTTTACATAGATTGGGATGGTTCTGTAGAGGAGTGCATCTGCATAAAATATAAGAACAAATCTACAAGCACAGATAAATACAATAAAGAAAAAGATGCAAATTAGATACACAATAATTTATTGTGGCGACGCAGTGGCGCAGTAGGTAGTGCTGTCGTCTCACAGCAAGAAGGTCACTGGTTCGAGCCTCGGCTGGGTCAGTTGGCATTTCTGTGTGGAGTTTGCATGTTCTCCCAGGGTTCGCACGGGTTTCCTCCGGGTGCTCTGGTTTCCCCCACAGTCCAAAGACATGCGGTACAGGTGGATTGGGTAGGATAAATTGTCTGTAGTGTATGAGAGTGTGTGTGTGAATGTGTGTGTGGATGTTTCCCAGAAATGGGTTGCGGCTGGAAGGGCATCGTAAAGCGTAAAAACGTGCTGGATAAGTTGGCGGTTCATCACGCTGTGGCGACCCCGGATTTATAAAGAGACTAAGCCGAAAAGAAAATGAATGAATAAATAAATGAATGAATGTAATGTATTGTTTTCTGAGAAGTCTAGCACTATTCCTCATTTTATGAAAAATGTAATACAAGTAAAGTTACAAATGATACAATCTATAGGCCTGAATGGTTTTTAAATCCTCATACAGTCACAGGCCTCAAAAACACACGCAAATAAATAAATTATAATCCAGACTCAACATTACATATCTTGCGATGTGGCTATTGTGAATTGTCACATTGTGATATCAATGCTGAAACAATATATTGTGCAGTGATGTATTTTTGTTTGTTTTGCAGGTGACGTATGACATATTAGATTTAAGCTAGCCTCATTATAATCAAAGTTTCACTGCATTCATGTGTCCAGTGCAATGATGAGCTAAAATCTGGCTTCTCTTCTCTTTCATTTATCTCCGCGCTCTGCTCTGTTTCAGGTGGATCTCATGCGCAGTTTTACATTTAGAAACTCAAAGGGCAGTTATCGTGGGATTCCCATTGTTGCTGCCAACATGGACACAGTGGGGACGTTTGAAATGGCCTTAGCTTTACATCAGGTATAAGTTAAATCCTCACTCTGTTTTAAATATAGCTAAACACGTATGACCAGTCTTTGTCTTAAAACTGAACTAACTTCTCTATGATGTCAAAACTCAATAGAGAAGCCACAGACGCCGATGTGGCTTTAAAGGTGTTTAAAAAAATAAAGATAAATGGGTTGTAAATGTATTATTGGTGTAGTTGGTTTAAGTATAGTTCTGACTTGTTATATTCTGGGTCCTTATGGGTGCTTGAAATTTTTATCTAGTATTGTCAAGGTATAAAATTAAATTCATCTTTGTTTGTATAGCGCTTTTACAATGTAGATTGTGTCAAAGCAGCTTCACATAGAAGATTATAGTGAATTGAAACAGTGTCAGTTCAGTGCTGAGATTTTAGAAAGAGGGCTTGAAATAGAAATTGTGTTGCTTTCATAAAAATTTGTTACTAAATGGATAATAATAATTATCTATTTAAAAATATGTTTATTTTTGCTTTTTCATAAAATGATAACAATGGAGTCTCTGCATATTTGTCCTTAGAATACTCTACTTTACTCAAACTATACTATACTATACTATGGTATTATAAATATAATCTTATGAAGTATGGGCAGTATAAGTATGTAAATATGTAGAAAAAAAAGTTATTAGGAGTTCAAAGAAGATAAGCACCACCTATCAACTGTACAATTGTGTACATTTATGTATGCGTGTGTGTATGTGCATGTTTGTCTTTCTGTCCTTTAACATAGTTCTCATTACATTATTTTTTTGTAGTTTAGCCTCTTTACAGCCATGCAAAAGCATTACGGTGTTGACGACTGGAAGGAGTTTGCAGCCAAGCACCCAGAATGCTTAGAGGTGGGCATCTTTGCTAGATTTTAAATACAGTTTAAATACAGATGGTTTGTATTTAGATAATCACTTCTTCATTTTTTTGTCCAGAGTGTTGCAGTCAGCACAGGGACGAGTGAAGGGGACTTTGAGAAACTGGGGGCCATTGTTGCCGCTGTGCCTCAGATTCGGTACATTTGTGTGGATGTAGCCAATGGCTACTCTGAGCACTTTGTCAACTTTGTAAAAGACGTGAGGCAAAAGTTCCCCACGCACACTATCATGGTTAGTCAACCAAAACAACACACAGCTATCTTATCTTTAATCTCTTTTAAGGAATAATCACAATATTTTAAAACTGAACGTGTGTTTTTTAGGCTGGTAACGTGGTCACGGGAGAGATGGTCGAAGAGCTGATTCTTGCTGGGGCTGACATTATCAAAGTGGGCATTGGACCAGGTGACATCATCACTCATGTTTTAACAGTCTGAGATGATATTCAGCTCATTTTACAGTATTCTCACTTTAGTTTTTGTGTCTAGGCTCTGTGTGCACCACTCGTAAGAAGACCGGTGTGGGTTATCCTCAGCTAAGCGCCGTCATCGAGTGTGCTGACGCTGCTCACGGCCTGGGTGGACACATCATATCTGTGAGATTCATTTCTAAAGCCCCTATATTGTCACATCTTTCGTACCTATATTTCATTTTTACAAATTAAAATAGACCCTCCATTTCTGCGTGAATAAAATCACATGACAAACAATTCATTAAATCAATTTATTTGTTCATGGTTAAGTCATCATGTTTTGCACCCCAAAATTAGAACCTCAGAGCTTTGAGCATAAAATCAAGCATTTATGTATTATTACATGCATATAACTATTATTGTTAGATGTAAAGTCATAACTATATACAGTCAAATAAATTGTTCATACCTCAGGAATATATATATACTGTACTGTATATACATAGTGTTTTCTGTAACTCTCTTATTGTGCTGCATCTTATTGTGTAATTGCATCTTATTTCTGCTGTCTGTGGTTTTAAAATTAATCCAACAACAATAGATAATGAAATCACTCTGCTCTTGACTGAATAGCTGTATAGCAAAGTAGTGTTTAACCTTTATTTATTTTATAGAGGGAAGATTATATACAGTATACGGTGTTAGATAAAATGTAAATAACTGAAAGCTACTGTTAGGTACATAAAAAACCTAAAAAGCACGGTTTATTTTTTAGCATTATCTTCGCTATATATTGTATTCATTTGGTATTATATTTTGCTTGTTGCTTTCTTTACTGAACATATCAATATTGTTATTATTTTTTAAAAATGTTATTATTACTTATTGTTTATTTTTATGCTCATATAACAAATACTGTATCTGCATCAAATTTAAATTTTACTCCATTTAAAATTTTAAATGTTTTTCTTTGAATATAAACTACACTAAATCATTAAAAAGCCATTAAAAAACTCAATTATGAAGCATACAAAAACATACATTTGTTTTATTTTTTGATGTTTAACAAAACATGTTTCCTTTTTTACTATTATGGCACATATCAGGATTTACAGAGCTAAAAACAAAGAGTAACAGGCACCCTATTTGTGGACAAAGAGTCTTTGATCAGGTATCTGCTGAGCTCATCTGTTTTCTGTCTCTCTGTAGGATGGGGGATGTACCTGCCCAGGTGATGTCTCCAAGGCTTTTGGTAAGTCTTGGTAACACTGCATTATTATAATGGGATAAAACAAAAGACAACTTATTAACCACAACTTCTGAATTTGCATATTTATTGTTTCCTTGCTACCTCTGAATGCAACACTTTTTAACTGTTGGCCACAGTATCACATTTCACTTGTGTTTGATTGGCTGATCTGTCTGCTAGGGGCGGGAGCTGATTTTGTGATGCTTGGAGGAATGCTGGCTGGTCATTGTGAGAGTGGAGGTGAAGTCATAGAGAAAAATGGCAAGAAATACAAGCTGTTCTATGGCATGAGCTCAGACACGGCCATGAAGAAGCACGCAGGAGGCGTAGCAGAGTACAGGTAATTGAGTAGAGCTTTAAAAGGGATACTTCACCCAAAATGACCTTATCATTTTGAGAGTAGAGGGCTTTTTAACTGTACTGATTATGCTGTTTTCAAAGACATACCTAAAGTAAAATTATGTTAGACTTATGTTAAAATTATGCAGGCGTGCTCACACCTAGGTACAGTTGCCTTAAACTGTGCCGAAGCACAATTTTTCTCCCTCCCATCTTCTCTAACAGCCTGCACTCACACTGCCTTTTACCTTCCGAACCGGAGCATGCTTATGTCATCGATGATGTAACTGTTCAGTAACAGAAAGAGAAGTGCTCTCACTCAGCACAGTGGAGATATCTTTAGTTATATCGTTTTAGTCGTTTGGGATACAGTGACATGCAGTCAAATATTTTGCCGAACACATCCTCAACTTTTAACGTTCATAAATAATCATAAAAGTCCTCGTGCTGCACGAATTATGAGGTTTGCTGAAGGTGCAGCTGACATGTAGTTTGGTTTGTGTCTTTAATAAACTAAGATAATTTGCTTTCAATGAACAGTAAGAATGATTTATAAATCTATATGAAACAGTCCCTTAAAAGTGACATCGTCTCTTCAGTTTCGGGCTCAGCCCACGCGTTGCGCTCATATTACAAGCGTACTGCACAAAAGCCCAACCGAACCGCGCTCTGGTACACCGGCCAACTGAACCACATCTGGGCCTGATTCAGAGCATTTACACTTGTCAAACAAACAGGAAGATGCGCCTGGACATGGTTCGGATAGCATATTGTGAGTACACCCTCAGTTATGGTTTTGAGGCAACAGAGGCATACAAATTTTAAATTCACAGGGAAAAGTTGTAGACACTAAAATGTATGCAGTCATTTTGACCTTTATGGCAGTTCTTGGTAGAATTTATCAAAACTCTTTTGTAATTTTGATAAAATAACAATGTTAGAAGGAAATATAAACATATTTATTAAACGTCAGGGAATTACAGATATGTGTGTTTTGTTTCAGCAGAAATATTAAACTGCAAAAATTCAAAACGGTCAAAATGATCGCCTCAGAAGTTCTAGTGTTAAATGACCTCATGTGGTTTTAAACCTTTATGAGATTCTTTCTTCTGCTGAACACAAAAGACAATATTTTGAAAAATGTTGGTTGCTGGCACATACTGACTTATGGTAAAAAAAAAACTAAGGAAGTCAATATATGTCAGCAACCAACATTTTTCCAAATATCATCCTTTGTGCTCAGCAGAAGAAAAAAAACTAAACTAGGTTTTGAACAAGTGAAGAGTGAATAACAATGACATATAATAATGACAATAATTATGTCTTAACAATAATAACTGGATTGCTGTGATTAACCATCATTATGCGTGTTTTTTCAGGGCATCTGAGGGTAAAACAGTTGAAGTGCCTTATAAAGGGCCCGTGGACGTGACGCTGAGAGACGTTCTGGGTGGAGTTCGCTCCACCTGCACTTATGTGGGCGCTGCTAAGCTGAAAGAGTTGAGCCGTCGTACCACCTTCATTAGGGTGACCCAGCAGCTCAACACAGTGTTCGGTAATGATAATTGAGACATGTTGGTCCACATTGGGCCAACTGATGCCAAATCCATGCGAAGGTCATTTTATCCTGGGTGCGGTCAAGTAGGCACACATGCATGTTCACATACGCACACACACACGGTCATTTAACATAATTTCTGTCGTGTTTTGTTCGTTTTTGTTTGTCTGTTTAAACTCGGTCTTGGAGGGCCGGTGTCCTGCAAAGTTTAGTTTCAACCCCAATTAGACACACCTGGGCTAGCTAATCATGCTCTTACTAGGCTTTCTAGAAACATCCTTGCAGGGGTGTTGAGGCAAGTTGGAGATCAAATCTGCAGGACACCGGCCCTCCAGGACCGAGTTTGGACACCCCTGCCTTAGATCAAACACCTCATATATTATCCAGATAACTGGGTACTATTTTAGACTTTGTTGTCAATTTGAAACGAATGTCTCTCTACGCTCAATGTCTTACATTCAGATACTTTCTGATTTCATAATCATTCCTGGACCAACTCAGATCTTTAAAGGGTTATTAAAGTATTAGCAGTCTATTATATTACATGATGACCATTATATATTAGCAGTTTATAATATAGCATATATTTAAAAACCAAAGCCAAGTTGTTGTTTTCAATGCTTTTAACATTTCCTCCAGCGTCGTCTATGTTACAGATGCAGCGTTAAACAATCTTTAAGTCTTAATCTGTTTTTGTCACAGTATTGGCATGATTTGATGCATTTGAGCCTGGTTTGAACATTAGACAGCTTTTATAGTAGTTTGCTTAACTGATGATTAACTTTAATTTAATTTAATTTGTATCTTTTTTGCTATTATATACTGTAGTTCATACGTTTGACATTCCTTTGTGTCCTAATACATTGTCATTAATGTTGCTTGGGCAGATTTAATTTGACCTATATTGAACTTTTAATGACGATGAATCAAATTTTGTTCGTATATTCGGGCGTTTAGCATTCCTGTGTTGTTTTGTGGAAATAAATGAGTTGGATAATCATTGAAGAATGGCTTGAGTTCTTTGCTGTTATTCTTGTAGGTACATTTTTAGTCACCAGAATCATTTTTTATGTTTAGATATTTTTCAAATGCTTGTATTTTAATGATTTCTTACACATTGTCATGGATCACAAGATTTAACAGGCCAATATTATGTTACATGTTCTGCACACAGTGTCTTGTACAGCTGAATGAGTTCCTTTTGTGCATTTAATTCAGTCAATATTTTCCAGGATGTATGATGTAATTCTGGCAAAAATATATTATACATTACTTATAAAAACCTCTAAATAGTAATTTTCTTGATTCTACAACATTACCTTTGGAAGAAAATATTAATAAATCTGCATCAATTCTGTTACCGAACCATATTTTGCCTTTTAGATTCGTAGAATTACTACCCACAATTATGCAAGATACAGGAAATGAGGAAGGAAACGATGTCACTTTGGCTTGCTGAAAAGATTTGAAGCACAGAAAGGTATGTGCACTCTTTCTGAGAAAATATTTTTATCTAAAAAATCTTAGAGTGGTAATTTGTAGAACATTAAAACTTACGACAATATCAAAAATGAAAACAATCTATGACCTGTCACAAAGTTGGTTGTTCTAAGGTTTTTTTTAATCTGGCTTTTATAAGTGTCATGTATAGCACTAATGCTATCAAGTGGAGTTTTTGGATATAAACTTTAAAATGGTCAAATCTGTTACTGCATTATAATTAACGGTAACAGAGTTGAGAAATGTTTTCACTAAAATACTGAAAACAATTGTTGGGAGGGTTTCTTACCTTTTTCAAGTGCATATCTCCTATTATAGAATCACTCAGGTACATCTTTTGTTGTATTTTAAACACAATATTTGTTCGCAGTTTGAATATATAATTGTGTTTGCATCTGTAAAGCACTTGATGTGTGTGTCAAAGTCTATGTAAACATGTTGGTGCCCTTTGGGATTGTGTTTAGCAATTATCTGACAAACCCTATTTAACTTTCTGCTTAACCTAATATTCCATTATTTACTTTTTAAAAGTGGGACTGAAAACCTAGTCATCAACAGAAAAGTCTAAATGCTAGAATAACCCTTGACAAGAGGCATGTTATGTGGACAGAAACTCTGTGTACTAGTTCCTTATAAAAGCAAAAAATCAGATTTTCATTACTACCTTTTTTTTTTTTACTTTGGAAATAAGCTGATTTTACAACTCCTGTAGAGTTAAATAATTGAGTTTTAGCATTTTTGAATCCATTCATCTGATCTCTGGATCTGGCAGGAGCACTTTTAGCTTAGCTCAGCATAAATCATTGAATTGGTTTAGATTATTAGCACCTTGATGCTCAAATGTTCCTATTTAAAGCATGTCTGTTCTGTAGTTATATCCAAGGTGTGATATAAGTAATAGTAAATAATAAATTAAAAAAATAAATAATAAAGGTGAAAATAGTGATTTGGGGGCCCTAAGCAATTCCAGGTATGGGGCCTTAGCATTAAAACTCAAAACACTCCCTTTTATAGATATAATATAACTTCCAACCTATCTCTGGGAAACATCAATACACGCTCATTCACACTCATACACTACGGACAATTTAGCCTACCCAATACACCTGTACCGCATATCTTTGGACTTGTGGGGGAAACTGGAGTACCCAGAGGAAACCCACGCAAACGTGGGAAGAACATGCAAACTACACACAGAAATGCCAACTGACCCAGCCAGACTCGAACCAGTGACCTTCTTGCTGTAAGGTGCCAGCACTGCGCCACTGCGTCGCCTATATACATATATATATATATATATATATATGTATATATATATATATAGTCCCCTAACTCCCTGGTAGAGATTTGGGCCTTAAATCTAAGCCCTAGCACGGCCCTGGCCCGAGATCAAAATTTTTGGTCCGAGTCCGACCCAAAGCCCGTCTTTTTTTCGCCAAACAACTTATACTGTTACAGCCATTAAAATACACCAGATTTGTATGAACAGAAAGTTGTTGTTTTTTTTATCAGAATAATTTAGAGAAATGTTTGGAGTTTTTTATGTTTTTTTTTTAAATGTAAGTTTTAGTTTATAAGTGACATCGATATGCAAATGGTACATGGTCCACAGTGAGTTTACTCAATTTACAAGGTGTGCATTGTGCATAAACAGTTGGCTCATTATTTAAAGTTGTCACTATTTGAAAAGTTGACCCGAAGTTTGCCTTTCCTCTAGCATTTTTCAGTTTTACATTCGCCATTTTGCAATTTTTCTCTTTATGTTCTCCATTGCAGGTAGCTGGAAATCTTTATGCGCATCACTGGCACCTCTGGACTGAATTAGATCTATTAAACTTTTGTTTGAAGTTTTTTCTAAAGCAGGCCCAAAGCCTGATAACGTGCTAGATATGGAGTAAAAAAATGGCCCAAAGCCCGGCTCTCTAGCAGCATAAACAGAAAATGAAAAGTTCTTATTTTCTAGGTCAACATGGTTAGGACCTATACTCTCATTTTAGTAATAATGAGAACTTTGCTGTACCATTGCTGCAGCAGGCTATTATATCACGCAGGCTGTTACCTGAGGACTATGTTCAGGCATGCACTGCATTTTTTTGCACCTTAATTATAATGTCATGGGAATAAGGGTATAGTTCCTAGTCATATAGCAACTTTTTATTTTGACAATAAAAAAAACTAATAGATCTTGGAATGTGAACTAGTATGATTGATTTTTCATTTCATGACAATCATTTTCAATACCACTGACAAAACTAGCACAATGTATAATACTGTAGTATACTGTACATGCAATATACTGTAATATATTACAGTATACTGTAGATGTGTTTGTCCTTTCTTTATTATTTTCAAGCTTTGAAAGGTTTATTAAAGTCTTCTAAAAAGAAACATTCGCTTTAGCATCAATTAGGCCTACGATTACAATACTTTTTATTAATTGCTCATTTTGTGTGTTTCTTTATTTACAATAAAAAGTTTTAAAGCGTTATAATAGGAATTTTCCTCCGTGGCAAAAATGAATGTGATGTTTTTGTGGGAGTTCCCGGCTATGCAGACCATTGTATTGACTATTGAAATGCAGGTCAAAGCTTTTAATATCAGTTTAAATTCTAAGCATACACAGTCACAAGCTATGCTTTATTACCTCAGAAAAGTAGGCTCCCTGGCTTAATTTGCAAAAGTACAGATTTAAAAATCTACCTAAATACAATAAAGTGAAGTTCATTACAGTGCTTTTTCCCTTGGCAGTAAGAGACAATTCAATTCAATGTTTATTTTTTATAACGCTTTCACAATGTAGATTGTGTCAAAGCAGCTTAACATACACTGAAAACCTTAATGATGTCTTTACTTAAACAATTAAGTAAAGTTGACAGAACATAACTTAAAACTTTGCATTTTAGTCCTATCACTTAAAAATATGAGTTAATTTAACTCATGTACCATGAAAATGCCTACACTTAGTACTTAAGTAGATTATACTTAAACTGTTGAGTTCACCAAACTTAGTACTAAGTTTGGTGAACTGAACAATTTAAGTATAGTCTACAAAACCGGCAAGTTAAACTTAAATATGCATGTTTTGGGAGACTCCATTACTCAATTAAATTGAGGCAATGAGTGTACTCAATTAATTTATTTCAGTCAGCTTATTAGGGTTTTCAGTGTAGAAGTTCTAGTAAATTGAAACTTTATCAGTCCAGTTTTTAGAGTTGAAGTTCAGTGTGGTTTAAATTTCACAGCTGAAAGTCCAAACACTGAAGACCAAATCTCTCCATGCGCAGCTCCACAAGTCCCAAACCAAGCAAGCCAGTGGCGACAGTGGCAATGAACAAAATTTCTTTACCAATTGATGAAAGTGAAAGAAAAAAACAATCAATCAATGTCTTATATAGACAAATGCTAAAGTCCAAGCAAAGTCTGTCTGCTTGTTTACTCAAATAGACCACTTTACCCATTAGAAATGTTGAATATATCTGTTTTTGTGCTAAAATCATTGCTGCTTTCTAATCCGATCCCTGTGTTATCCTCAAAATAAAGGGTTTGTGTTCAAGTCAAATGTCTTAGTTATTTTGTAAAACATTCCTCTTGCATGGTCTAGGCACATCAAATTAATTTATTAGGGAAATGTGTTCATTTTCTATGTCTTATTGAACTCGTTATTCATATATCTTGCCTTTTCATGATTTCTGTTGAAGAAATAATTGTACATGTCTATTGTGCCCAATGCAAATCTGCATTGCAGAATCAATTAAACCACCCGTCAATGCCGATCATTTTACATCCTGCTTCCAAACCGGTTTGACTAGTGGAATTTCTTTAAAGGGGATGGGCAGACAGAGAGACAGTATATCTTCAGCTGTGCTTTGTTTGTGCAATCATTTTGTTGTCTTCTCCCATCAGCAATGGCTGTTTGCAGCAGTCCACAGGATGCAGAGCAGTTCCAGTGTTCAATATGCCAGGACATCTTCACTGACCCGACAACCATTCCATGTGGACACAACTTTTGTATGGTATGTATCTGTCAACACTGGGACAGCAGTAGGAAGACAAGCTGCCCCCTTTGCAAAAAACATTTTAACTTGACACCAGAGAGTCTGGACATCAACAGAGAGTTCAAGGAGATCATTGAACGACTGAAGAGGGTGGAAAGTCCTGTTCAGCCTGGAGTGGTAGCGTGTGATGCCTGTACAAAAATAAAGAGAGGAGCTTTGAAGTCTTGTCTCCATTGTGAAGGATCTTTCTGCAAAACTCATCTTGAACCTCATAACACCGTAGCCAAACTGAAGAAGCACAGACTTATCAATCCTGTGGAGAATCTGGGCGATTATATCTGCTCAAAGCACGAGAGACCGCTGGAGCTGTTCTGCAGAGATGACCAGATGTGTGTGTGTCTGTCGTGTACGATAAAAGACCACAGAACACACAACACTGTCCCAGTAGAGGAGGAGAGCGAAGAAAGAAAGGTCAGAGATGCTTAATCTGTATCTGCGCTTCAGTGGCTTTAACATGTTGACTTAAAGAAACGCTGATTTCCACAGTCTCAGTTTGGGAGAAAGCAGGCCGAGGTTCATTTGATGATCCAGAACAGAATAAAGAAAATTGAAGAAATTAAAACCTCAGTGACGATCAGCAAGGTTAGTCAGTTTGAAGTTCTTTGGTTAATTTGGCTTTGTTGTATGAAAATATTTGTATTTTTTTTATTTACATTTGAAGACGTAAGATTGTAAGGGGCATCTCAGAGCAAGAAGGTCGCTGGTTCGAACCTCGGCTGGATCAGTTGGCATTTCTGTGTGGAGTTTGCATGTTCTCCCTTATGTTCATGTGGGTTCCCTCGGGTGCTCCGGTTTTCCCCACAGTCCAAAGACATGCACTTTAGGTGAATTGGGAAAGCTGCATTTTCTGTGTATGTGTGTATGAATGAGATTATATGGGTGTTTCCCAGTGATGGGTTGCAGCTGGAAGGTCATCCACTGCGTAAAACATGCTGTATAAGTTGGTGGTTCATTCCGCTGTGGAGACTTCTGAGTAATGAAGGTACTAAGCTGAAAAGAAAATGAATGAATGAATGAATCTTCTGATGAAGAAAAAGAGAAGATATTTTAAAGAAAGCTGTTTACCAGTAACTACTGATGTCCACAGTATTTGTTTGTCTTACTTTGGAAGTTAGTGGTTACAGGTTTTCTGCTTTCTTCAAAACATCTCTTGTCCTGAACAGAACAAAGAATTTCATAAAGGTTGGGAACCACTTGAGGGGGAGTAAATTGTGAGTAGATTTTAATTTTGGGTGAACTTTTGAAGTAATAACTTTGAGATTCCAGTCATATTACTACAATATTACTACTATTTTATATAGTTTTTGATCAAATATGCAATATATGAATGAATGACCCCTTTGTAAACCATTTTAATCCCATCATCATTTCATTTGATCATTCATTGTCATTCTCCTTTTGTTCCAAACCTATTTGAGTTTCTTTCTTCTAATTAACAGAAAAGAAGATATTCTGAAGAATGTTGGGAAATGGCAGCCAATGATTTCCATAGTATTGTTTTATTGTTGTTCCTGCTATGGATGCCAGTGGTTGCTGTATGTTTCCAACATTGTTCAGAATATCTTGTTTTGTGTTCATTCATTCATTTATTCATTCATTCATTCATTATCCTTCGGCTTAGTCCCTTATTTATCAGGGTTCATTACAGCGGAATGAACCGCCAACTATTCCAGCATATGTTTTACGCAGTAGATGTCATTCCAGCTGCAACCCAGTAGTAGAAAACACAGATAAACTCTTGCATTCACACACACTCATACCCTACGGCCAATTTTGTTAACCCAATTTACTTATAGTGCTTGGACTGTGGGGAGACTGGAGCACCGGAGGAAACCCACAACATCACGGGGAGAACATGTAAAATGACAACTGTCCCAGTCAGGTCTTGAACCAACGACCTTCGTGCTGTGATGTGACAGTGCTAACCACTGAGCCACCGTGCTGCCCTGAATAAAGAAGCTCATAAAAGGTTAAAACCCCTAGAGTGTAAGTGGTTCACAGTTTGCAATAACTTAATGCAGCATGGCATATTTTTCAGCCAAAAACCTGAAATGGGTTGCATTATAGCACTTCAGGAGGGGTTACATGTCCTCAAAGGGACAGTTCTCCCAAAAGTTAACATCTCCTCATCATAACATCATCACACTTGAGTAATCTGAAACTTTTATGAACTTCTGTTTGAACACAAAGCAAGATATTGTGAAAAAATGTTGTAAAAAAAAAGCTACAACTCGCATGAATAGTAGCAAAAAAATACTATGAAAGTCAATATATCTTCCTTTGTGTTCAACAAGGAAAAAAATTGATTAAACCAGGAGGAAAGTGAATATGTGATAACTGATTAAAAAATTTTGGGTGAACTATTGCTTGAAGTCAGTGGGTTTTTGGTTAAATTCCTGAAATAAGCTATAAGGTTTAAGGTTAACACAAGCTAAAGATTTTTCATGTTGTTTCATTTCATAAAATACATTAAAAGCCAATAGAAGAGAGGGATGTTTTCTTTTTCTTTTGGGTTTTGTTACAAACTGCTCAAACATTGGCAATAAATTCTTACATTTAAATGTTTTGTTTAAAATTGGGGATGTGGCTATTTATCATGCCACATTGTTATTAAGTTATTGCTGGGTAGCATTGTTATAAGACTGACGGTAGACTATTCCCAACTTAGCAAAGCTCAGAAAAAGAGAGAGCCGGCTATGTCGAGGTGTTTGCTGATCTGATGCGCTCCATTAAGAGATGTCAGCGTGAGCTGCTGGAGGTGATGGAGCAGAAGCAGAAAGCAGCAGAGAAACAGGCTGAAGATCTGATTAAAGAGCTGGAGCAGGAGATCAGTGAACTGAAGAGGAGAAACTCTGAGCTGGAGGAGCTCTCACACACTGAAGATCACCTGCACCTCCTACAGGTCTCTCTCTCTCTCTTTTCAATTCAAATGAGCTTTATTGGCATGACTTGTCAAGTATTGCCAAAGCATTGCACATATCATTAACAATTAATAAAATAGTATAGTAATAAAACATTAATAAAAAACATACATAATATTTATAGTAAATATATATTTTATATATTTAATTGAAGTCAGAATTATTAGCCCCCTGTGTTTTTCCCCCTAATTTGTTTAATGAAGAGACACTTTTTTAAACATAATAGTTTTAATAACTCATCTCTAATAACTGATTTATTTTATCTTTGCCATGATGACAGTAAATAATATTTACTTGATATTTTATAGACACTTCTATACAGCTTAAACATTTAAAGGCTTAACTAGGTTAATTAGGCAAGTTAGGGTAATTAGGTAAGTCATTGTGTAATGATAGTTTTGTTGACAATCCAAAACAAATATTGTTTAAGTGGGCTAATAGTATTGACCTTTTTAAAATGTTTTAGATTAAAAACTGCTTTTATTCTAGCCGAAATAAAAATTACTAATGACATTATTAATAAGACAATGAAAGACAAAAAAAAATCAATATGGAATAAATTCACAACAATTACTTCGATTATAACACTGCCCTCTCTATATCACACTGAGGGATTTTCTCCTCTCACTTCTGTTGTAGATTTATCCATCACTTTGCAGGCCTTTAGACACCAAGATCTGGACTGGGATCAGTGACACTCATATGAAGGAGGATGCTGTGAGAAGAGCTATTACAAAACATCAGGGATTTCTCAGTGATGTAATGGTGAAAATGACAGGAATTGGTGAGCTTTAGATATAGCTTTTTTTCCCTTGCTTTTGTTTCATGAATAAATTGAAATACAGTTGTGCTGTATGCATTCAAATTTAATAAAGGCGAGAATATTTCTAAACATTCTTTACTTAAATGGTAAAAGTAATCAAGTTTATTAAATGTTTCCACAGAGCTAAAGAAGATCAAGAAGTTTACAGGTATGAGTTTGCTGTGCAGTTTTCCAAACTTTGCACAAAAATACTCAAACATTGTATTTAACTGTGGACACTTTTGGCCATGTGAACATTTAATAATTAAACTTTCCTTTCTTCTTATTTTGTCTACAAACAAAAACTGTATGCACATTTATAAGAGGAGAACTGTATTTTACCCTGAATCTTATTACAAATCTCTTGTGTAATATCCACTAGCATTAAATTGAAGCATTTTTTGACGATTACAGTTTGATTATACAACAATTCTGTTCACGTGATATTTTTATTTATCAAGCCTTCAGACATTTTGATAAAAGAATGTGCTTAAAAAACTCGTATTAAAAAATACATTAATTTTTGCACAATAGAAAAAATATCTTAATATTTATTTTACTTTTATTTTGATCATCATAGTTTTAAATGACATTTTGGCACCAAAAGTTTGGGAAAAGTACCAGAAAAATAAAGAGCACAAAGTACACTCAAAAATGAATTAGCCTTTTCTTCAAACTACTTAAGTAAACTGATTTATTTTATCTTTGTCATTGTGACAGTAAATAATATTTGACTAGATATGTTTCAAGACACTTCTATACAGCTTAAAGTGACATTTAAACGCTTCACAAGGTAATTAGGTTATCTAGGCAGGTTAGGGTAATAAGGCAAGTTATTGTATACTAATGGTTTGTTCTGTAGACTATCAAAAGGTATATATATTTTAAAGGGGGCCCCGTGGTACGTGCCCTGTGGGCAATCTGTTTATAAATGAACTTCATTTAAAAGTGTGTATCAGGGTTGTGTATTTAATTCTACACCACAAATACATGATTTTAACTGTACTTCTAAATTATGATCCCTTCCTCAGTGAATGTGACTATGGATCCTGAAACTGCTCACCCCAAACTCTTCTTGTCTGAGGATGACAAACAAGCTGAATTTGGAGAAACACGTCAGCCTGTCCCAGACAATCCGTGGAGGTTTAATAAGTGTCCCAGTGTCCTAGGGAAGGAGGGATTCTGTTCTGGCAAGTTTTATTTTGAGGTGCAGGTAAAAGGGAAAACGGAGTGGGATTTAGGAGTGGCGAGAGAGTCTGTTAACAGGAAGGGAATAATTACTCTGAGTCCCAGGAATGGACTGTGGACTCTGTGGTTGAGGAATGGAGCTGAGTATAAGGCCTGTGACTGTCTGTCTGTGTCTCTCTGCCTGAAAGTGAAGCCCCAGACGGTGGGTGTGTTTGTGGATTATGAGGAGGGTTTAGTCTCATTTTATGATGTAGAGTCCATGTCTCATATCTACTCGTTCACTGGTCAGTCTTTCACTGAGAAACTCTATCCATATTTCAGCCCAGGCTTTAATAATGGAGATCAAAATTCAGACCCACTGATCATTTCACCCCCCCAGTAAAAATAACTGGACTTTAGTGTATAATGACTTAATATATATGATATATATATATCATAATACTGGGTGACGCAGTGGCGCAGTAGGTAGTGCTGTCGCCTCACAGCAAAAAGGTCACTGGTTCGAGCCTCAGCTGGGTCAGTTGGCGTTTCTGTGTGGAGTTTGCATGTTCTCTCTGTGTTCGCGTGGGTTTCCTCCGGGTGCTCCGGTTTCCCCCACAGTCCAAAGACATGCGGTACAGGGGCCTGTTTCAGTAAGGAGGTTCAAACAACTCAGAGTTTAAACTTGAACTCTGAGTTGATTTACCGAGAGATTAAAAACTCTGAGTTTTCGGTTTCAGAACAGCTGATCTGAGTTGGGTCAATCAACTTTGAGTAGACCAACTCAGAGTTAAGCGCGCACACCGTGACTTTAAAAAGGCATTATCAATGGAGCGCAGACATTACGAGTGACTATGGCAACATCTTATAAAAGAGATCACCATTTCTTTCTCCAGCTGAACTTGATGTTCTCATGCAAAGTTATAGCAAATATGAGCGTATATATTTGAAAAGAAGCAACCATCAGTGAAGAAGAGACAGTTAGCGTGGAAAAACAGCTGCTCAAGTTAATGCCTAATTTCACTTTTTAAGTATTTAAATATTTAAGTATAATAAAATAAGTAATGTAATTTGTGACGTTTATATATTTTTTTCTAAACTTTTTTTATACATTTATTAGTTTTAAATGATTTAACAGTGCACTTGTGTGTCTGCCTTTTTTATTGATCAAGTGATAGAGGTTAATATAACATTTAGAAGGTAAGCAGTGCTAAAAATAATTTTTAGAAAGAATAATAATCCCATTAATCTAGTTACAGTGCATGTCGAAGGTGAATTCAATTTAATTATTTATTAAAAAGCATAAGCCATTCTAGTACAGTTCTTCTGTGTGTGACTAAAATGTAGGCAATAGCTGTGTTTCCATCCAAATATATTACATAAATTTATGTGCAAAACTGGAATATTGCATAAAAGATGCGAATAAAATTCCATCCAACGAGTCAAAGAGAAAGAAAAAATCGTCACTTCCTGATTAAACTGGCACCAAATATCAACAGTAAAAGCAGAATTTACTGTGGTAGAAGAAGCTGCGTCAATTAATTCTTTATTTAGCCTAATTAATGTACTTGCGCCTCGATGTCAGAAGACAATGCTGAAACACAATGAACACGTGGGGGCGTCTGAAGCCATGAGACGCGGAGACTCTTGACACGCTCCAGACGTTCGGAGGTAATTAATAATATACACTAATACTGAAACAGTTAAGGCATTTTAGAATGACTAAAACAATAATTTAAGACGTGTTACAGTGTGCTCAGCTTGCTGGTTTGTTCATTTACACACATTTTCATTATCATATGATCATGATCTTTTTTTAATGTACATGCTGTAATTTGTTCAGTAAAAGTGTTTCCATCGTAGTTTATGCACAAATTTTCTATCGAATAAAAGTGTATCCTACTCAGTTATGCGCGTTTTTTATGCATATTTTAAAAATTTATGTGCATCATGACGTTTCTATCAATAGTTTTTATGCACGTATCCAAAATGAGCATTAAAATAGGTGGGTGGAAACGTAAGGCTAAGGCGAGAAATACCGCTTCATCTTTAAAAAAGGGGAGGAGACCGACAGAAACTCTGAGTTTAGAGAATAAAACCTGCTTCTGACCAGGTTAGATTCACAGAGTAAGTTACCACAGTAACTGACTCTGAGTTAAAGTTACCTTTTTTTCAGAAACAGGCTTGACTTACCCTGATTTCTCGAGTTTAACAAACCTGCCATTTTGAAACGGAAAACCCAGAGTTTCTCTCATTTCAGGGTTAAAATACTCTGAGTTTTCACTTAACCTCCTTTCTGAAACAGGCCCCAGGTGAATTGGGTAAGCTAAATCGTCCGTAGTGTATGAGTGAGAAACTTGTGCTGGATAAGTTGGCGGTTCATTCCACTGTGGCGACCCCAAATTAATAAAGGGACTAAGCCGCAAAAAAGAAAATGAATGAATGAATATTATAATACCTCTAATAAAGATGAATATTTGTAATCTACAGATGTGTTGATTTGTGCTTTTGCTAAATGTTTATATGAGCCTAATGTCTGTATTCAAAGAAAAGTATTATTATTTTGATGCTTTTGTCTTTTTAGACTAAACAAATACATGCCATCATTTGAGCACCCTATATTTACATCATGTCAGACACATTCAAATAAGCAGGGAAAAGGGCCGGAATGGGACTCCTTTTCAGCCCTGGAGTTTCAAGCCTTGGACCGGCCCACTTCAGTTCACGACTGACTATATTAAAATAACATCTTTACAATTCAGAACTTCACAGTGAATTGTTGATTTTAACAGTTCACACAATGTAATGTTTAACAGTATCAGAATCTATTTTCTATAAGAATTAGTGCTCATAAATATCCAAACCTTAAAATGAAAAAATATCTAATAAATACAAATATGAATACCCTAGGTAGGTTTCCAGGCGACATCTGAAACAGATGCCCGAACTACCTCAGCTGACTTCTCTTGATGTGGAAGAGCAGTGGTTCTAAAAGGGGTGCACCCTGCCACTCTGCAAAGGAAACTCATTTTGGATGCTTGTATGCAAGATCTTGTCCTTTCAGTCATGACCCAAAGGTCATGACCATAGGTGAGAGTAGGAACGCAGATTGACTGGTAAATTGAGAGCTTTGCCTTTTGGCTAAGCTCCTTCTTAACCACAACAGACTGGTACATTGACTGCATTACACCTGTCAATCTCACGTTTCATCCTTCTCACTTATGAACAAAATGCCAAGATACTTGAACTCCACCTGGGGTAAGAACTTCAACTTCAACCTGGACATGGCAAGCCACCTTTTTTTTAGTGGAGCACCATAGCCTTGACAGCAAACCACCCCAGAGCATGCTGAAGGTCCACGTTCCGATGAATTCAACAGAACATTATCAACTGTGAATAATGCAATGCAAACCAAACTCCTACTGTGTTCATACAGGGAACAGACAGCCCCTAACAGAGTGCCTCTGACCCCATACTCCCAGAGCACCTCCCAGAGAATGGCCTAAGAGACACGGTCGAATGCCTTCTCCAAATCAACGAAACACATGTAGACTGGTTGGGCATCCTCTCATGAACCTTTGAGCACCCTGGTAAAGGTATAGAGCTGGTCCAGTGTACCACAGCCTGTACGAAAACTGCATTGGTCCTTATGGATTGAAGGTAAACCATCGGTCGAATCCTCATCTTCAGTATCCTAGCATAGATTTTCCCTGGGAGGCTGAGGAGTGTGATCCCCTAATAGTTGGAGCACACCCTCCAGTGCCCCTTCTAAAAAACGGGAACCACCACCGCAGTTACCCAGTCCCAAGGTACTGTCCCACACCTCCATGTGACATTGTAGAGAAATGGCAGCCAAGAAAGCCCCACAACATTCAGAGACTTGAGATACACAGGGTGTAACTTATCCACTCGTGCTCATTGTCACTGCGGAGCTTGCAAACTACCTCAGTGACCTCAGCTTGGGTAAGGGCGAGTCCGCCCCTGCATCCCCAGTCTCTGCTTCCTCAATGAAAGACATGTCTGTAGTGTTGAGGAGATCCTCAAAGTATTCCTTCCACCGTTCGAAAACATCCCCAGTCGAGGTCAACATCTCCCCACCTCGCTGTGTCAGTGTCGAACTGCTTTCCCCTCCTGAGGCGCCAGATGGTTTGCTAGAATCTCTTTGGGGCCGACCAGTAGTCTTCCTCCATGGTCTCCGCGAACTTGTCCCAGGCCCAAGTTTTTGCTTCTGCAACCACCTGGGCTGCATTACGTTTGGCCTGTCGGTACCCATCAGCTGCCTCTGGAGTCTTACAAGCCAACCAAGCTCTGTAGGACTCTTTCTTCTGCTTGACGACATCCCTTACTTCCAGTGGCTACCACCAGGTTCATGGATTGCCACCTCGAGAGCCACCACAGGCCTTACAACCACAGCTCCTCACGGCTGTGTCAAAAATGGAGTCAAAGAACAAGGACCACTCAGTCTCAATTTCATCGGCATCCTAAACTTGAGGTCCGGCCAGACATTCCCAGAGGACCCTTACAATATGTTTGAGCCTGCCAGGTCTGTCCAGCTTGCCTTCCTGCCAGCGGATCCAACTCACCATCAGGTAGTGATTATTTGACAGCTCTGCCCCTCTCTTTAAGCGAGTGTCTAAAACATACGGTCGGAGATTGGACAATACAACCACAAAGTCGATCATCGACCTCCACCATAGGGTCTCCTGATGCCATGTGCACTGATGAACACCCTTATGCTCGAACTTGATGTTTGTTGTGGACAAAGTGTGATCAGCACAGAAGTTCAAAAACAGAACACCACTCCGATTCTGATCAGGGAGGCCGTTCCTCCCAATCCCACCTCCAGGTATAACCGTCATTACCCACGTGGGTGTTGAAGTCCCTAAGTAGAACAACAGAGTCCTTAGTCTGAGCACCTTCCAGCACCCCTCCCAAGGACTCAAGAAGGCCGGGTACACTGCACCGGTGTTTGGCTCATAGGCACAAACTACAATGAGAGATCTATCCCTGACCCAAAGGTGCAAGGAGGCGACCTCATTCAACGGGGAAAAGTCCAACACATGACGGGTTTTCTTTTTTATTTTTATACCTACCTAACTATTGTAATTAACAATAGAAACAGATCTGTACCTGATTGTTGATTCACAAGCTGTTCTTCAAGTTTATCTCCAGTGATCCCCTTGTTGTTTCTCCATTTTCTGCAACAGAAACACCTGACCCTCACCTACCTCTCATTACTGTGGTGTTTCCCGTTTCTCCAGATGATCGCGCCTGTTTGCCCCAGTCCAAAGACAAAGAAATGTAATAATTACATGTTAAATACTTGCTTGTTTTTTACATTTCGTATGGTAACACAAATGAACTATCCAGATTGTCTGTCCTATCGAGTTTTCTTTGACGTGGTGACATTTCTTCTTCATAATGTGAAGTGCAGTGGTGAAGCTGAAATGTGTTTGGCTTTGTTCTGTTTATGACGTGTATCGAACGTCCGCGGATTCTAAGAATGCGCTGATGCACTGTGTGTGAGCTTAGTACAGATGAGGATTTTCATATGTCTGCAGGCTAACTGTAATTCATTTAGATATATATCATTTTAATAATAACTATCATAATTGGTGTGTGTGTTGTGTGTGTGTGAAAATAAAACCAATCTTTTCATAAATCGGTATTGAATTTGTAGTGATTAGTTGATGTTTCTGTCTCTGTCCACTAGATGGCAGAAGTACCAAACAATAGGTAGCAGATGCAAGAATCTAGCTAAAGTGCTGGTGTTTCGTGTGGAATCAAATGCTTCATGCCAGTTCGTTTATTTAATCTACATAGTATTCATTTAAAAAAGCATTTAATGAACACCGTGATATGAAGATTATAATATGGATAAATCACACCATGCTTACTTTGGGCAAATATGTGACCATGGAGCACAAGTATTCGTAAGAACTGCCATGATTTTCAATATAATTGATTTTTGTTTGTTTTATGTCAAAATTCATTAGAACATTATGTTAAGCTCGTTTTCCAAAAAGACACTTCGTAATTATAAAACTTTTATATTGGTATTTTTTGGATAGTAATATGCATGGCTAAGAACTTAATTTGTAACTTTTTCTCAGCATTTAAATTTTGTTTTAAAACCTCGGAGTCCAGTCCTATTGTTTCTTCCAACCACTGGGGAGCGTCTGTTATCTCACACAAACTACAAACCAGAGTATTTCAGTTTCGTTTAAAAAGTCTCGTATCAGAATGCCATTTTGTTTCCTGCTTTATTCAGAAAGCTGCTTGAAGGTATGTAGTGAAAAAGGGATTTGCCTGAACAGTGACTTGTGTCAGTGTTAGTTAAAATACTTACCATGTAAAGTATTGCAATAAGAATAAATGATCGGTAGTATGGTCGGTTTGTACTTGAGTTTGCGCAAGGATCACTTTAAGTTCGGTAACTTTGTTCTCGTTATTCTGTAACTTTCCGGTGATGTGACGACATTGACCTTGTTTACAAACTATTATTTGTTCTTCGAGAGCTTTATTTTTAACTACCTGACAGTACAATCAATGCAGTACGTAGTTAGTCTGCAAATATTTCGATTGATTAAATGGCACTTGAATAGCCCACCACACCTATTTGTCTGTGTTGTCACGTAATGTTTATTCATTACTATTTAAGTTTAATTCTACCTAAACTTAATTTTAAATAGATTTACATAATTGTTGGGGTATATCGTGGTATTTTGTTATAGTTCAAAAACTGAAAGATAACTTTAATAACAGATGGAAAATACTGAACTTTTTTTGAGATGCACCTGTGTGACCAAGTGTTGTTTTGGCATATAATTTTGTAAAATACATTCAACTTCACTCATTTCAAGGCTTGGTGATCATAATGTGATAGAGTGTATTCTCCGGCAACACCCTGTTATAAATGCTGGTGGATTGTAACACAATGGCAGAACCACCAAAGTACAGTCTTGGAAGAAGAGATAGTATTGATCTGCCTCCATGTAAGTCTTTGTGTATTGACTATATTCACGTAAATAAAGTGTTACACCATGTTTTGTTAACTTCTGTAACCAATCATATTTTGAGAATTTCTGACCTTAATACTATTCCATTCAAGTAATTTCCCTCTGTTTCCAGTTATGGGTCTCAGTAAAAGTCTTCATCTGACCGAAGAGTGCCAGTGTCCAGTGTGTCTGGATGTGTTCACTGATCCAGTCACCACTCCATGTGGACACAACTTCTGCAAGACCTGCCTGATACAATGCTGGGACAACAGTCAGGATTACAGATGCCCATTGTGTAAAGAAACCTTCAGCAAAAGACCTGAAGTAAAGAGCAACACAGTTCTTAGAGAAATTGTGCAAATCTTTATGGACAGCACAAAGGAAGGTAAGAGTATATTAAATATTACAATTTGAACATGTTTCATACATTAATGTTTACTGTGTGCAACGTTTCAGTCGAATAAAAAAATTACCATCTCAAAATCTTGCTTTCAGACCCATTACACACAGACGGTCCTCTGTCTGAAGAGCTCCAGTGTTCAGTGTGTCTGGATGTGTTCAATAATCCAGTGACCACTCCATGTGGACACAACTACTGTAAGACCTGCCTGGAAAAGTGCTGGGACTACAGTCACGTCTGCATCTGTCCATACTGTAAAGAGACATTCAGTAATCGCCCTGATCTAAAGTGCAACACAGCTCTTAGGGAGATTGTGCAGCTCTATGAGAAAAACACAGGTATGGGCATGTATAATGTGAATTTTTTACTAGTATAATTTGGTTAGTTTGAAAATGTGTATTTATTTTGTTTTATTTTAATGTGTATACATGATATAAGATGGCAAATTTGACCATTACTTGCAGGATTGTTTACACCAGAGACAATAATTCATAGTTGATACTGTATGTATACAGCGGTTAAAATAAGTATTTAATACATCATGATGTTTTCTGGCAAAAGCTGCTGACATAAAATTGACCACAATTTTGGTAAAAATGCAAACCTACAAATAAAATTAGTTATGTGAAATAACAAATGAATGAGGAAAGTATTGAACTACTGAAATGTAGGGTAGAGTGCGGCACAAAGTAACACTTTTTGGTTTTGGCCAAATAATTAACAAAGTAATGGGGTTGGACAAACCATATTTTTATTTTTACCAACAACACACAAGCCTCTCCTACAAATGAGCACTGGTCGTATGCTCACTAGACCTATGGTTTCTGTGCAATATTGCCAATAGTGCCAGGAGTAAAAATGTTACTATTTACCCCACTTGTGGGGCAAGTTATAACAGACAGTCACAGAGGGTTAGTTGTAACATGCTTATAAAGTCAAATTTACACAATTAATTTAAATTTAGTTTACTTTAAATAGTATATTTCCTCAGAACTTAACTAATTTTTTTTCATTATTTTTCATTGCACAGCATTTTTATTTATTTATTTGTTGGATAAACAAATTTGGACTTATTTGCATTATTATACAATGCTTTAATTTTCAATATTATCTGTAATTTTTTTCCATTAAAAAATATTTACAATTAAAACAACATTTTTTTAAAAAGGTTCTCGACATTACACTCAAAATTAAAAACATATATAATTTGTTAATTTAATTGGTGTGTGTGGCTTATTTGTAACCCTGCTGTGCTGTGTTTTCCTCAAAACTGGCACAGTCATTGTGTTTTTTACATCTTTCAAAATGATTTAATATTTTAGCCTAGATTTTAGGTTCATACTTTAACAGATTTTTAAAAATAAATTCAAAAAATAAAATAAAAAAGTATAAGAAAAAATACTTTTATGTGCAAAAATGGTTTCTCCTGTGTTTCTCATCCAAATTTCGCCAAACTTTTTTTTATAACTGGCAGGAAAATGTCTCCCAACACTGTGGTGAAAACCTCAGAAACATGCCATGGTTAACCCTGAGCAAATGCCTTAAAACTCATTGTACCCTCTGTACTTTGTACCCCGCGTTACCCTATTTAAGACTTTTAAAAGGTTATTTTGGTAAGAATAGCTTCAAGACGCCTTTTGTATGAAGGATGGAGTAGCACGCACTGACTTGGCACGACTTCAGCACTCTAAAAATCTTGACCATTCTGTGGATCTGCTATATGAATGTTGATCATTAGGTCTTATTTTCAATTGGATTCTTTCCATGTCTTTTTACACCTCCCTTTTTTCATGTGTTCAATACTTTACTTTTTCCGTTTTTAAACATAACTTCATTTCTAAACTAATTAGTTTTGTTTTTCTGTATGCACGGATTACTTTAACTGTCACTGACATCTGGTGAAAATCTTAAGTCAATAGCACCTTTAGAAATGTTTTCTGAGAAAAAAGGTGCCAAGTTCAGTACTTTTTTTTTACCTAATAAATATATGACATGTTTACATATATGAGAATATATGAGATTTCCGTATGTGTGACTTCATAGTAATGTTTGTCAATTTTTAAGATTACAAAAGGGAGCAGCCAATGGAGACAGAATATTCAACGTCATTGGGAACAGCAGTCCATGAGGAGCCTCTGTGCAAACCTTTAAGTGAGTTAGCAATACAGTATTATGAATTTTTCCATTCCCACATTAAATATATAAATTAAAAGACAAGAGGTCTTGGGGAAAAACATGACTTCAACACTGGAATTTGTAAAAATAAAATTAAGAAAAGAAAGAACTAGATGTTTTCCTCTTGTTTCCTATGGTTAAGGTTTTACAATAAAATCAGTTGTCCATTGGGTAACACTTTATTTTGATGGTCCATTTGAGTATTAGTAGACTGTCTGCTTAATATCTGTTAATATGCTCCCTTAACAGACAATGAACTGACTATAAAAACCTTTGCAAGTACATGTAAACTTACACTAACCCTCTAACCCTAACCCTGACCTAACAGTCTACTTATAATCTAATGAGAATTAGTTGGCATGTAGATGCAATGTAACTTAAATTCAACAAAAGGACCATCAAAATAAAGCGTGACCTTCCATTGTATTTGAGTGGGTTTTGTTCAGGCTCAGAAAAGTGTCAAAATTTGATAATACTGCACTATATATTAGTTACTTTCAAATAGTTATTGATTTCTGATTTCAGCTACAATTTCCTTATTGCCACATCCCTAAGTGTTAATTTCATAAACAAAAACAAGGACAAAAAAAAATGTTCATTGACAACCTTATTTCCTTATTAAGACTAAAACAAGACAAAGACGTGTTTCTCAAATACATTTCAGAAGGACCACCAGCACTGCTTGTTTTGGATGTCTCCTTTGTCTGTCACACCCAACAAAGGTCTTTCAGTCTCTAATGAGCTGATGATCTGAATCAGGTGTGCTTACTTAAGGAGACATGGAAAATGTGCAGTGTTGGTGGTCCTCCGGGAATGTGATTGAGAAACACTGATATGGACATTATTAGATACTAACTGACAGCATCAACATTAAATATCACTGATATTACTTTTTAATGTAGATAAGCAGATCAGTGTGGTCATTCGTTTATAGCAGAAATCTGTCAGGTTTCTGTTCATTTCAAGCCGTAAACACCAAATATTTTTCATCCTTACCTTCATTGACTAAAACACTGATCCCCAAATAACTTGAATTGATTTTCTTCCTTCCAGTGATGGCTTGCTCATGCTGTGTCGTGACTGAAAACCCTGCATGCTTTATTTGTCTGGAGTCTTCAATCGATGTTGTGTGGACTCCATGTGGACACAGCTTCTGTAAGGCCTGCCTCAAGGAATGCTGGGAAATCAGTCATGACAGCAGATGTCCATGCTGTAAAGAAAGCTTCACTGAGAGAGAAACTTCACTTCTCGAGCAGCTGCGGTCTCAATCTGAGTGCTCTTACCAAATGAAAGAAGTTGCAAACATAAAGGAGGTCATAATGATCAATCCTGAAATGATCCAGAAGCTTGACAGAGCTTTGGAGATGTTTGGTGGAGATGATTGTGTGTCTTGTGTTGAGGGAGACCACAAAACAAACAACACTCGTTCTGCTAAAGACGAGAGTGAAAAGAAGAAGGTAATGAAGAATGAGTATTTATTCATATCATCAACCAAATTGACATTTCTTAGATGATTTAATATTTGTCTTTTCCAGGATATTAATCCTAAAATAATCCAGAAACATGGAGCTTTGGGAATGTTCAGCTTGGGTGATCAGACATTTGAGCGGTTTTGCGTTGAGGAAGACCACGAGATCCACAATACTGTTCCTGTAAAAGATGAGAATGAGAAGAAGAAGGTAATGTAGAATAAAAATGTATAAGATGGCCTTTAAAAAGTAATAATATTTTCTCCTCTCAGCAGGTGAAGATGCACGAGCTTGTGCAGCAGATGATGGAGGGCACAAGGAAGAGAAGTTCTCTAAAGGGAGACAAATTCTCTGAAATTAAAAGCAAAGTAAGTGTTAAATGTTTTTTTATATGAAAATATTTTCAGTATTGACCTATGCTGCAGGGTGAAAACTATTATGATTATATGCAGTGTTGGGGGTAACGCATTACAAGTAACGCAAGTTACATAATAATATTACTTTTCTAGGTAAAGAGTAATGTTTTTTAAAATTAAGTTGTAATATTTCAGTTATTGTTTTAAAAGTGTAACTCGAGTTACTTTTTAGATTAATTAATTCACTTTTAAAAAATAGTTTTGAATTAAAATTAATCATGTTGAATCACGTTTAGGCCCAATCCCAATTCTATTGTTGTACCCCTACCCCTTCCCCTTTGAAAAACACACAAAAACAGCATTAACATTATAGTAGACACTGTAAAAGCTCATTCCCAGCCACTAGAGTTTTCTGACAGGGTATTTGAGTGTCATCAAGTGTCAGAATGTTGTGGGGCTGCTTTACAGGAGATAAAATTAGGGATTATAGATCGGGAAATTTTTATTTTTAATTTTATTTTCTTTTTTTTTGTAAAGCATGACAGTAAAACATGAACACGGTTATGAATATATTAAACATGTGCTTGTTTGTTGTAAAAATTCGTACTAATGACAAAAAAAAAAAAAAAAAAAAACGAATTTGTGGATCTCCTGATTTCCGGGTGCAGCTATGCTGCCGTTGTGGGTGGTGTATTCTGCGTGTATTTTGTGGCTGGTGTATATTCTAATTTTCTCAACCCTTGGTTTCGAGTGTGCTCCTGAAAAAATCTCCATTCGAAGGGCTATCTACCCTTTCCCCTTAGCCCTACGCTTTCAAGCTAAAGAGAACTGGGACACCCCTACCCCTTTAAATGAACATGCAAAACGAGGGGTAGAGAGGAAGGGGGTAAGGAGAAGGGCTAAGAGGTAGAATTGGGATTGGACCTTAATGAGAGAATGAGGTCCCCGAGGCAACAGACAGAAACCAAGATGGCAGAGTCTTACATTTCTGTGATGGAAGTTTTCTCATTATTTTGAACACATGAAAGAAAAGAGGATAGTCTCAATGGACAGTACTTTTACTGAATAAGACAAAAGTAGCAAAGACATTGCTTTCAACTTTCATTTATCTTTATATATGGCATGTTTACCGTCAAGAAGTTATCAGAAGGTAGCATTATATATATAGTTTTTTTTAAGGTAAAGAAAGGTTATAGTGAGTCTTTAAATGCAGAGCTCCTCTATTTAAAAAAAGAAAAATATCCTGAAAGTTCTAAAAGAGATTGGGCTTCAGGCAGGTATGAAAAAGAAAGTCAAAAGTAACATACAAAGTAACTAAGTAACGCAACTACTTACTTTTGGGGGTGGGGGATATTGTAATGCATTACTTTCACCCCAACACTGGTTAAATGCATATTCATTTGTGCCCTTCAATAAAATAAAACACAAATGTACAATGATTTCTAAATAAATACTGGTAACGGTTTAACCCCTGGGTGGCCACCCCTGGTTTAACCAATTAGCAGTTGCTTTTCTAATATGGTAAAATATTTACATTACAGTTTTGAAATTCCATAAATTATGTGTATTTTTCGTAATTCTGCAGTTTAGTTAATCAAAAGAAATGAATAAAGAAAGATAAAGAAATAACAATATTTAGTTATACTTATGGAGGTTTTTTTTCTCAGTACTCAAAGTGCTTTACACATTTTAAAGAAGAAATCTTAAGATTTGTACACGTTACACAACATTTGTGTCCTCTTAAACTTTAAAATACTGAAAACATGTATCAGGTTTCTGCATTCTATTAAAAGGATAGTTCACCCAAAAACAAAATATGTTGTAATAATTTAATCACCATTTACTTGTTTAAAATCTTTACCATTTAGTTTCCATCTTCTGTTGGGGCGTCATGGTGGCGCAGTGAGTAGCACAATTGCCTCACAGCAAGAAGGTCACTGGATCAGTTGGCACTTCTGTGTGGAGCTTGCATGTTCAACCAGTGTTGGCGTGGGTTTCCTCTGGGTGCTCCGGTTTCCCCCACAATCCCCCAAAGACATGCACTATAGGTGAATTGAATAAGCTAAATTGGCCATAGTGTATTTGTGTGAATGCAAGTGTATGGGTGTTTCCCAGTGTTGGGTTACGGCTGAAAGGGCATCCACTGTGTAAAAGAAAGGGCATCCACTGCGTAAAACATATGCTGGATAAGTTGGCGGTTCATTCCGCTGTGGCGACCCCAGATTAATAAAGGGACTAAGCTGAAAAGAAAATGAGTGAATGAATGAATCTTCTGTTGAAGAAAAAAAGAAGATATTTTGAAGAAAGCTGTACTAAGTACCAGTAACTACTGATGTCCATAGTATTTTTTTGTCTTACTTTAGAAGTTATTGGTTACAAATTTTCTGGTTTGGAACAAGGTTTGGAACCACTTGAGTTGTGGGTAAATTGTGAGGGTTTAATTTTAGGTGAACTATCCCTTTAATCAGCAACTGTTTTGAAGTAATAACTTTAAGATTCCAATCATATTTCTACAATAATACCACTGTTTTATTTAGATTTTTATCAAATATGCAATATATTGATGCCTGTGTTTGATCTGATTACATTTCTAAATAAGAAAAACAAAGCAAAAGAAGCAGCAGATGACATTGAGCTCTGCACTGATCTGAATTACTCCACAGAGAGAGGTCAGGTACTGAAATCACACTTATTCTTACGGCACTTTGATGTAAACAAAACATTTTAAAGAATTTCTCCCATATCACTGCATTCATACCAAGTAACGTTCTATTTAAACATGACCAAAAACTTTTGTTTGTGTGCTCACTGATCACAGATGATGCTTTCTGAAAGCTGGATGAAGACATCTGGATGAAGAGTCATTTCTGCTTTCATCCTTTTGGATCGACAGGATGTGCTTTTTGTAGAAAGGCTAAAATGAATGTATTGCAAGTTCTTTTAAGCTTACAGACAAATTCAATTGCTTCTTTTAATCCAATAATCTCATCAATATATTCAGAATAATGTATTTTTAAAAAGGTAAAAAAAAAAACTTTATATCTCATATATTAGTTGCTAATGGTCTAATCTTAATCAATGATTTATGCTAAGCTAAACGTGCTCCTGCTAGACCCGGAGATGGGCTGAATGGTTTCAAAAATGGTCAAACTCAACTGTTTACCTCTAGGGGACTTTTACAGTGAGTCTATTTGCAAAAAAGTGGAGTGTTCCTTTAAAGTTAATCATTCGTATGTTTTGATAAAGAGTGTACACACTGGTTTTTGGCTCTTGCATTGCTGTCTATTGATGTGAAAAATGTGTTCAACCTTCTGCTCAACCAATTGAACATCACTCAAATTAAGGCTCCTGTTTATCAAGGAAGGGCTAGAGTTCAAGCATGCAGACAGAAGACAATTGTTTCATAATCTACTTTGGAAATCTTTAATTAATTATTTCCCTGATATTCTATACCTTTAAATCATAACCAAATATTTGATTAAAAAACTACTGTAATCTTGTTTTATAAATACATTCTGAGAATTATGTTTTCCTGTCCAGTGACTTTTACAACATTTTTAGAAATATTTCTACATGAATGACTGAAAATGTATAATTATTTTGTACTATTAAACTATATATTACAGAAAAAAATCATAATGGTTGGTTCTTCAGTAAATGGTGAATCGCTGCAACTTAGTTTCAGTCAAAACAAACATCATCTTGCATATTCACACACAAGACTTATCAAGAAACTTTCCCTAGGAAAGATTATGACCATCATAAAGCACACTTATCACGTCACAGCTTCTCTGTCAAATATTAACCATTTATAAATGTGTCGGTCAAGCTTTGTGTGTTTGTGTGACATTTGTGTCTGAATTCCTGATTCTGCCATTTGAATTCATCTCCATTACCTTCCTGAATCATTTTATGCTTTGATCAGTTTCTGTACAGGATGTGTGGCAGTGGTGTCCTGTATGAAGCAGCATGTACTCTTACAGACAAGTTCTTCCTGTAGAGGAGCACAGCAGCAGACAGCAGAGCGAAAACAGCCATCAAGCTCAATACCGCTGCCAAGCTGATCTTAGCCTCAGAGACTAAGAAGAGAGATGTGAAGCTGGGTTGAACAGCGGCATCTTTCTCCATCATACCAAGATCACTACAGTGCAGAAAACACAGACTCAACTGACATACAAACACACTGTATCTTGAATTCAGCCAGAACACAGTTGAAGTGAAAATCATTTAAGATCTTAAAAAGAAAGGAAGAACTGACTGACCTCTGAGCAGTGGTGTCACTAAAAAGGCTTTCTGTTCTTTGTGTTGATGTGGGAGGAGCTAAATCTGAATATTTACATAATCTGTTTTCAGGGCAGAAAATGAATCCTTGATAACCAGACACCTATAATTTGGAGATAGGATTTTCATTATTAGGTGAATTAACCTTTAAAATTATTAGGTTAACCTTTAGGGTTGAAAATGAGACTTATAAAAAAATTAAATGCAAAAAATTAAACCAAAAGTTGTTATATGTAACAAAAAAGCTTCTCACAAACCTCAATGCTCGTTCCTGCTGGACAATCCATCCAATCAGAGTCCTTCACCTGAATGTGATATTTGTTTATTCCGGTGCATCGGTGTCTGTAACAATGACCTGACACTGGTGTGTAAGCAGTCACATTATTCTAATAAAGAAAGAATATAAAAATTTAAACTAGCTCTTAAAACGGTAGCTGTGACATCTCTAAACGTTAGAAACATTTTTAGACATAAAAACATGAGCATGTCACACCAGTCTGGTGATGTTGGATATGAAACAGCGGCTGTCTGAGCCGAATATCTCTCCGCCTCCTTCATTCATTCCACTCCTTGCATTATCCTCAATCCAGCACTCACTCTGATGAAGAAAAGCGGCATTACTCTCTGTCAATCATGTATGAAGTTTGGTTAAGGTGCAAAAAAATAAAAAAACTATTGAGCAAAAAACTCACAGCATTTGCAAGAGGTTTAAATATGTGGCACCCATCCAGGTACTGATCCGTCACACACTCCCCCTTGTTGAGATGAAGGAAATGACAACCCAGACCACTAGTAGGAAAACATATATTATTACTGTACAATAAATAAATCCAAAACAATTCCGTTTAATGGTCTTTAAAACGCACTAGTCTCTATTTTTTTATGCTAATGGTATTTAAAATTAAACTAGTACCAAACGAATGAGAACTATTAGTGCCTTAAAACACTCACAATGTTTCGGTACTAATGTCTTGTTTTTAGAGATGGTAACTTATAAATGTAAACCAATACTCATTAGCATCTGTTAGATACTATTACTCAAGTAGTACCTATTTAATAAACAATAGTAATAATAATTACACTTGCACCTATTGGTAGGAGATAGATAGAGAGGACTTATTTGTTTGTTACTACCTTTACTACTTACCTTTTTAAAAGATAATAATACTTATGTTACTGGTATGTTCTAATATCAAATGAATATTTAAGAATTAACTAGTATCTAATTAATAACCAGTGGCATATTTGAAGTTACTTGTACCTAAAGAATACACTAGTTGCTATTGAAAAAAGTACTTGTACTTCATAAAAAATACTTTTATAAAAAGTACTAATATTTAAAAAAAAAAATAGATATTAGCATGTTTTATAGATCAAATGTATTATAAAGAAATAGTTCACCCAAAATGATAAATCTGCCATTACTTACTCTTTTTTCACTTGTTTAAAACCTATTATATTCTTCCTTTCTTTATATTTAAGAGTCCTGGTAGCTGGCACCCATTGACTTCCATAGTAATTCTTCCCCAATGTGTGCCAGCAACCAGCATTAATCAAAATATCTTTCTTTGTGTTCAACAGAAGAAAGGATTAAAACCATAATACATGAAGAGGTTGTTTTTTTGTTTGGGTGAAATATCCTTTTAAAATAGCTTGGCATGAAATTAACACTTGTTTAATACTTCACTTTTTTACAATTAAAAATATAATATTCTACATATCAGTGTCTAGATCTTCATAATTAACCAAAGAGACCATATTTTTGATTACCTGCCTGTGCAAAAGAAAGCTGAAGAATTGTGACAGGCAGAGACGGAGCCAAAATCACTGCCTTCACCTGAAACCCCAAGAGCAGCAAAACAGTGAACTGACAAGTCTGAAAATTTTTACTTCAGTCTCAACAAGTGCGTAATGTTGATCTTATTTAGACTGATTTATTGATTCTGCCTTACCCTCTCCCCACACCAGGCTCTGAGCCCGGCTGTGGTTGACTGAATACCAGCCTGTGTCCTGGAGGGCAGCGAGTGTGATGGCATCAATGCGAACCAGAGATGCCTCCACTAGCGAAGCTGCCATAATGGAGCCCTGAAGCACACGAGCCTCCCAGTGTGAAGAGAGACCATCTAAAGCAGCGTCCTGACAAAGATAGAAGTTTGGACTTTATTATTATTATTTATTGGAATATTATTTAATGGCAAAAAAAGAACAAATTTACAAACATTTAATAAATGACTATTTTCTATAACAAAAAAAGGTTTATAGCAATAAGTTATTTACAAAAGAAGATAAAAATCTAAAACCGTTTTCAGGACTATTGCACATTTTTCAAAGCCAAATTCAAGCACTTTCCAGATGCACTTTCAAACATTTCCAGCACTTTAAAACTGTGGCAAATTACATATTTACATACATAATCACATAATGTCAGCTGTTATTTGTTAAAGTAGTGTATTGTAGGGCTGCACAATATATCTTTTCGCAAAAATCACATCAGAAGACGTGCAATGTTGAGTCTGATTTACAGTTGACCAGGAGCTACAGAACGTATGTGATTTATTGTGTCACTGCTAAGTTTAACCATAATAGAGTGAAGGTTTAGCGCATGCATGTGTTATAGGGCCTCTGACTGAACATTTCAAAAGAGTTTAAAACATTTGTGCGCAAATTTATGTGTAACAAAGATTAATTGTATTTAATTATTTATACAGAATTTATCAAATTTACGCCAAAAAAGTTTTTCTTACTTTAATTTGTGTTTTGCTTCTAGTATAAATATCCAGAAAAATAAAATATTGCAATATCAGATTTTTCAAACATCATGCAGCCCTATTCTGTTGCATAGTAGAGTATCCTAAGGAATAACTTTGATGTCATGTTTGCCCCAAGCCCAACATTGAATTTAATCTATTAAATGCAATTCACTTACAATTTACTTAAAAAAGAAAGCCAGATCATGCTGAAGACATCTGCAGTTCTAATTTTACGCAAAAAGTAAAATTTTTCCATCATTTGTCCAATACGTTAATTTAAACAGATAATTATTATAACATACCAACTGTACTTAATAACAAATATAGTGTTTTGCATGTGGTTTGTACCTTGTTCTCTAATGGAGCTCCAAGGTCAGTGTGTGTAGAGTTGAAGTGTTTCTGCATTGCTCTGATCACAGTAGGAGAGTAGAGTCTAACCTGCCCTGTCTGGTCTGTGCTGGTCACCTGACCATGAGACCAGCAGTCTACACCAACTTCATAATACACACAAGAACAAAGTTACCAGAAAATCTACAACAGAACAGAACTAGAATAACTAACGAGAAATTAGCTATTAAAACTATTGTGTTTAAAAATATGCTGAATAAAAAAACTCTCTACATTAAACAGCACTTAGGAAATATCTTTCAAAGAATTCTAATTTCACAAGATGTCTAATCATTTTGACTTCAGCTGTATTCATTTAAAATAAAGAAGGCTAGTTACTCTGAGAGGAAACTGTACAGTCCTTCCAATTGCTGAGGAGCTCTTTGCTGAAGCCCAACACATGGAACAGCTCATGGATCACTGTCTGTACCAAAACAAAGACCATAAAGAGTGAATATTGTTTTCTCAATGCTCTTCTCATTTCACAATACCTGCAGTTCACTCTTCTTTAACACACATACTGTCACCTTTACAAAGTGCTGATATGTGTATCTTTCCTTTTTGAGCGTCTCTCTACAGATGACCATCGTGCCAGCCAGAGGACGGCCATCTGAACCCGTCTGACAGTGAGCAGTATAAGCCAGTACACTAGACTGAGAAACAGATGTAAAAAAGATTATAAGATGATAGGAAATAAGATTCAAGGTACAGATGAAAACTCCTCAATGCCATTGTGCATGTAGACATTTTCAAGACAATTTGTTGAAGTCCAAACAAAGCATTACAATGGGGAAGACAGGTGATTTAAGAGACTGTTGGTGGTTTCGAAAACTTCCGATCTAATGGGATTCTCTTACAGAGAACGGTCAAAATGGGGAAAACAATGTATGACATCTGGTGAACAGCAGTTCTGTGGAGAAAAATGCCTTGCTGATGTTAGATCTCAAAAGAGAATGGACAGCTGGTTTGATAAGGATAACAGGACACAAAGATTTCTATGCACATTGCAATAGCCATTTTTTGGTGTCCCTCAGTTTAGCATTGAAGGCATGGGTTTTCTGATTGAGGTCTGCTCCAGGATGGAGCAACACATATGATTTCTCACGTCTTTATGATTATTAATAAAGTTACATGTTTAAGGGCCCAGATCATATGATGACCTCAGTGTCATCCCTCTTCAGAGTAAATCTGGAATAATGTGAGTGTCATTGCTTTTTCTGTATGCCAAATGATTTGTTTCTGCAGTATCTACCAAGCTAGATCAGAGGTCATGGAGAGCTGTTGGGTGTACCTGGACTCTTAAAGAATTTAACAGGTTATTTGCCATTTTATGTGTTAAATCTTTTAAAGTAAATTCCTTTGCATGTAAGCTGCCAGCGTTAATGTTGATTGTATTAGTTTTTTTAACCAGTTTTGATAAGACGGCTGAGAGAACACGAAACGGCCTTGTGTAAGAAACAGATTGTACTTTGTGTGTGCGTGTTCTATTCATTTGTGGATCTGTATTACAGGTCTGCGGTCAGTTCTGAAAAGCCTAGCGGCTGTCTGACTTTTGTATGTGACACCTAAGTAATCATTGGAAGATATTTTTCTGAATTACGCACACACACATGGACATTTTCTTGCTCTATTTGTGTTTTAACCAATCAGGTTAAAACACCTATATGTATGATGCAGTTAATGACGTTATGCGAGAGTATAATTGTTGTTGATTTGTGATTGTAAGCAGAGCAGCCTACGAACCCTTTGTGAGTGTTGAAGCTGGCTTCGGCAGATAAAACTGCAAACTATCTTCATTAAACTTTCTTTTTTAATTGAATCTCTGACTCCGGCCCTTCTTCATCTGAAAGACTGGTCATTTTTGGGTTAAACCTGTTGGTCCCCCTACAGCAATTGTATTCTCGGGTGTGCATTACTTTCTAATTGAACAGAACAGAGTACATTATTCTGCACATTTTGTATTTACCATACCTAAAGACACTGTTCAGTTGTTGTATTTCAAGACATTTGTCAGGGTTTTTGTCATTACACTGTGTCCTAACAACACGTGATATGAGATAAGTTATCTTTCACAATACAGGTTGTTAGAGCACAGTGTGCACATCTCATCTAAAGGGTTCTGTATTGTTTTAATTAGATTTTTTGAATGTAGTTCGTGGTGAAAGAACTTGTCTCTTTCGGGGTTGTTATATGGAACTGCAATGGGGTTGCCAGGATGTCAGGGTGCCAAGACTTGACTGGTCTTTAGACTTTAGCGGAGTGTTTATATAAAAATAACTGCACATCTTGGAATGTTCAAGAGCCTCATAAGTACAAGTAAAATAGGCATTCTCTCTTTGGGCTCTCCATTGTAGGTCAACAGAAGCCTGGAAAAAGTTTGCCAGGTATGCTGAGTATCAATTACTGCCATCATACTGACTGCTGTAGGTAGTGAATTTGGTGTAAAAAAACACAAAAGCATAGATCTATGTTGTCTTGTATAAATAATTTAGGCTGCTGTTGATTTATTGGTACAGGAGACATTTTCTTCTTTAAATGCCACAACCAAGCTGACAAGTTAATTTGCTGACCAAATATATCCATTTATGACAAAAGGTAATCTTTTTTTGTGATGGCCACTGGTCACCAGGCTCAAATCATCTCAAACTGGTGTCTTGAGTGAGCTCACAATACTCAAATGGCTTTCATGGCCAAACAAGGTTAACAATATACCTCTGCTCTGCATTTTTCTGTGTTGTGAGTGAACACATAAAGCAGGAAGTCAGCATCGGGAACTCCAGGCCCCCGTGGCCTCAGCACTGTTGGGACTGGATGCTCAGGATTTGGATAAACAGAACAGCCATCCAGGTGCTCATCTGGAATCTGCAAGAAATGAAAATAAAGAAATAATAGAAAATAAACTACATTTTGAGTAAATATGAAGCAAGACTCACAATCACACCGAGGCAGCTCTCAAATCTGTAGTTCTCATGGGCTCTTCCACATCTGAGGAGAATGACAGTGGTTTAAATGAGAGTTCACTCTAAATTAACATTTTCAATTTACTCTCTCTCAAGTAGGTCCATAATTAGAGATTCATTCCTCTGTTAACCACAAAATAAGATATTTTTAAAAATGTTAGAAACCAAGCATGGACTCACGGTCAATGGTTCCAGGTTTCCAACATTTTTTAGAGTAACTTATTTTGTGTTAAACAGAAGAAAGAAACAATAACAGGTCTGTCTCGAGTACAGAATGAGAAAATGAAGCCATAGGTTTAATTTTTGGGAGAACTAGCCTAATTCCTTAACTAAAAATAGAAAGCATTTTGAAAATCTGCCTAAAAATGTAAAATTATTTGAGCAAGTATTAATTTTTATACTCTTTGTACTGCAGAGAAGACCAGTAAAACGTACTTCATGTGGTTTAAAGTGCTGCTGTTTCTCCAGATGAATTTGCAGTACTTGTTTACATCTCTGTTCAACAGCAGACGGTCTTTAACTCGTTTTACTACAAGCAAACATCAACAAAAACTCTGGCTAATGAAGACAATAAATCATTTTTTTTTCTCTTAAGTAAATGTTTTGTTAATACTTCCTATAAAACGACCACACACACCTGACAGTAAACTGGAAACCTCGCTGACAGCCTCACCAACTGCGCTCATTAATTTCTCTCTCTCCCAGTCAGAGAGGGCGGGACTTTCTGAAGGGATCCAGATTTTGATTCTGATTGGTTGTAAATTATCCATAGGCATAATATGTCTTTTAGATCTCTGAGTTTTGAACCGATAAGCAGAGGCGTATTGAGCGGTGGGCGGGGAAACGACGTTGACGGATCTCTGAATTTGGTCAAAGATGCACTTCCCACAGACACAAGGGAACCATGGTAACAGCAAAATGCCGATACACAAGAGGAACGACATTTCGTATATCTAAAAAAACAGGAAAAGTGAAATATATTAAAGTTTGGAAGAAAAAGTCAAGGATTTGAAAAGGGACATTCAATAAATGATCTGTAATACGGAACTTAATATATTAACATCATAAGTGTAACGATTTTATCGAAGAGTCTGAGGTAAAAATTAAAGTAAAATTTAGACATAACGTTACTTTATTATCAAACTCGAATCCTGCAATGATTTTAAGCTGAAAATGATTAGAAAATGCTTTTAAAATAAGTCTTGTGAACACATAAAAGCTGAATTTACTTCAGAAAACAACTCAAATTAAACCTTACTACAAAGGGCTGTGAAAATAATCGTTTTCTATTTGAATTAATTACATTAAAATGTTACAAAACTTAATAGTATCAAGTGTCACCTGATTGTTTAAAAAAATTTAATACTTGCTTTTGTAATGTAATTTTACTAATTTACTGAACAGCTGAGCTGATTTCAAGACATTGTTACTGCTGTAATCAAGTTAATATTATTGATGATTAAAAGTATTAGTTTCTTTAAAGAAGTACTTAAAAACCCTAAAGATTGATTGATAGTGTACATAACTATGACAGAAAAACTAATCAATAGATTTCTTACCAGCAGAGCATCAGTCCATCAGCATCAAGTTTGTTTCTTTCTCTTGTGAGTGATGTGGTCGAGTATTCCTCCTCCTCTGCTCAGGATAAGGAAACTGAGGCAAACACTGTATGCAGTGCAGGCTTTGAAATGCAAATAAGTCAAAACACAATGGTTAAAGCATAGGTCTCAAACTCAGTTCCTGGAGAGCCGCAGCTCTGCACAGTTTTGCTCCAACCCAGACCAAACACATCTGATCCAACTAATGAAGCTGTTTGTGACTTTTTTTGAACACCTCAATTATTTGGATCAGCTGTGTTTGAAAGAGTTGGACAAAAACTGCAGAGCTGCGGCTCTCCAGGAATTGAGTTTGAGATATGGGTTAAAGTAAAACGAATTAGGCTACGTAACATTTCACATTCCATTAAAAACATAGGTCTTAAACTCGATTGCTGAAGAGCTGCAGGCCAGGGCAGCATGTTTGCTGGGGGTGGCACAGGGAGACAAAAAAGTGCCCCAGTAAAAGCTTTGAGATAAGATTTACTTTATGCAAATTTATTGAGTGGTTGTCCAAAAATAAAGACATTAGGGGCCATTCACAATTTAATTCACAACTCAAGTTTGTTATGTAAAGCAAATTGAGGCATGAGCGCAGAAAGCCATTCCTGCCACGCCTCACACGCACAACTCCTGTTCCCAGTTGTTTACTTGCACGTCAATATAAGTCAACAAAACTAAAGTTTATATAATATGATGATGAAGTTACTTTGACTAAGCAGGGCTATCAAGCAAAAAGGAAGAATAATGAGTCAGGGAGGCAGACTCCATAACATTATTTCTCTGCCATGAGTCGGGTCTAAGACAACAGATAATACTATAAAAAAATGTTTTTTGTCATAATCGACAACTGTCATAATCAATATTAATGCAAAAGTCTTAGAATAATAGAATGTTGTTTTTCAGTTACATTTAGGATTGATTTCTGTTTTTTTTTTATTAGATAATAATGTTATTTCTTGGGGGATGGGGAGAGGGTGATGTTTATGCTTTCGCCCATGGGTGCTATTTAAACTAAAACCGACACTGAACACCTCGATTATTCGGATCAGCTGTTTTTGAAATTGTTGGACCAAAACAGCGCAGAGCTGCGGCCCTCCAGGAAATAAGTTTGAGGCCTACGTTCCTTTTAAAACATAGGTCTCAAACTCGATTCCTGGAGGGCCGCAGCTCTGCAGTTTTGCTCTAACCCTGATCAAACACAACTGATCCAACTAATCAAGGTGTTCAAGACTCTTTTGAAAACCTTGATTATTTGGGTCAGCGTGTTTGAAATTGTTGGACCAAAACTGTGCAGAGCTGTGGCCCTCCAGGAATCGAGTTTGGGGCCTAAGAGTTAAAGTAAAACGAATTACATAAAATTCATGTTCCCGTTAAAACATAAGTCTCAAACTGGATTCCTGGAGGGCCGCAGCTCTGTACAGTTTTGGTCCAACCCTAATCAAACACAGCTGATCCAACTAATCAAGAAGTTCTTAACTACTAGAGACTATTAAGCAGGTGTGAGTTGAAGGTGGTTGGAGCTAAACTATGGAGAGCTGCGTCCCTCCAGGAATTGAGTTTGAGACCATTGCTTTTCAAGTAAAGACATCTTCACCTGCAACACTTTCATTGAACAACCAAAGCTATCTTTAAAACAAAAATTACATCAATGTTTTTAGGTCATGTTTTTTACATAACAAAATCTACTCTACAAATCAATTCTTCTACATCCCCCCTCAAAAAATTAACAAGCACAATCATTAAGATTCACCCAAGAAATCACACAAGTTAGAATAAAAGTGCAAATCATTTTAATTTTTGTGAATTCTCCAGCTGGTTTAGCAAATATATACAGTGAAATTCATCCTGCTATCTTCAGTTCATCTAAGATAATTCCCACCCACGTCATTTTAAATGCGTTCACCATTCAGCAGATGAGAGTTCAACAACACCTCGGCGTTAAAAATACACTGCGTAAAAACATCGACAGGGTAAAATAGGGAGTGAAATGACAGATCATAACAGCAGCTAAAATCAAGACACTATAGATATGGCACTACGACTGCTCGCCTGTTAATTGTCCACTGAGCCAGAAAGGTATGAAATCGGAAAACTTTAAAAGACATATTCAAGTTATTGTGATAAAGTATCATTCAGGTTGGTGGTGGTGCACGTGAAGGTCTGAGTGAAACCTCCACAAAAGATTGTCTCAGCTGAGTGGCTTTCCACTTCCAGCTGGTTCACTCTCTCATACACACACGTACATTCACTCACTCTCACAACACACATTTCTTTATTATCAAGTTATTGCCACAGTTGCCATGCACTACCATATACATAGCGAGGGTGAGTTCTACATCTATGTGTAAACTTTTGTGCAAGTGTGTTTGGCCCTACGTGCAAGCACATAACGCAGTCACAACATACAGTCTAGTGATGTACAGGAAGCTCAATCAAAGGCACTTCTGAGGAACACACACAATAGAATATGTGGCCTATAATAGCGTTATGAGGTAAACTCACATGTATGTACATCACGCAACCATGTCTGCTGATACAAACAAGCAATTCTAACTAAAATCAATCTGTTTAAACCAACGTCACATTTCGTAAGCCATTTTGGAGGGGGAGGAAGGGTTCTTTGTGCAAATTTTCTTCGATCATATTCAACACTTAAGTGCACAACCAACACCGACCTTACGCTCAGGCGCTTGTCAACCATTTCTGACACACAATACTATTTAAACAGATGCTCTAATACGAGTTAAGGCACCAAGCCAGCACAAGAACCAAACATGGTGACACTGACACGTGCTGAAAAGAGGAAGGCAGGGAGATCAAGAACAAGGTGGAGAGAGAGAGAAGAAAAGACCAGCTAAGTCGCTCAAGTCAGCATGGGCACGTCGTCTTCAGAGGTTGTGTCATCAGAGAGAGGAATCAGCAATACTTCATCTTCAGAGGAAGAAGAAGAAAAAGAGGGGGATGCGGAAAGAGGGAGCGAAGTAGTGGACGGAGAGGGTCTGAAACGCGAAATACTCCGTCCGAGGGTGTGGAAGAGAGACGCCAGGGAGGGACTGCTGGGTGGGGCAGTGATGGGTGGGGTTTGTTGCGCTTCAGCAGATTCGACTGGCTGGAAAGGAAAAGGAGGCGGGGGAGATGGAGAAGGTGGAGGAGCCTCGGCTTGCTGCTGCGTTTCTGTCTGTTGGGATAAACCCAGTTTTTGAGTCAAGGACTGACTGAAAGCCTCTGTGGCCACTGAGGAGGCTCCAGGACTTGACTGACTTGGCTGAGTACTAGAATTAGCAGCTTCTGTCTGTTGAGAAGAAGAGGCCGTGGTCTGTGTTGGTCTGGAGGTGGCTCTGGGAATCAAGCCCCATCTTCGTAAGCGTCGCACCGCTCTGCGGACAAATCGAGGCCTGCGTCTTCGCCGTAGAGAGGAAGCATTGTCTTGTCTGAGAAGCTGCAGTATTCCTCGCAGAGAGAGAGAGACAGTCTGGAAAAATAACACATTATAATCAAATACAGATGCAGTGTTATCAAATACTACTGCTCTCAATGCACTACGTTTCTATTTGTTTTTCAATGTAAACATGCTGGACTGATGTGTGTGACCGTTACACGTTACACTTGCAAGTGCTGCGCATGCGAGCGTCATTTTAGACGTTGTGTCAAGTTGAACATACACACAGCGCAGTTCATCGCTGTCAGCTCCAAAAGCAGTGGACCAATAAGAAGAGCTTGGATGAAGGGCAACTGTTGTGAGCTTCTGTTTATAGAAAGTTGGCATGACAACTGTTTCATTTACAATGATATCAGGGCTGAGGATGTGCTCATTGTGGCTTTGTCCAGATATCCTGAGTTATATGATACATCTTGAAAAGCTTTTTGTAACATATTGTTTCCCTATTTCTAATGGGCCCATTATTTTATCATGTTCACAATATCATGCCATGTGAAAATTACACTAGGCTGCGCTTCTTTAAACCCATTCCTGAGCACAGCGCCTCACACTTCTAGAAGCAAAGACGCGTTTGGTATGAATTAGCCATTATGTCCATCATGGCTTAAAGGTGCAGTAGGTGATCTTCCACAATCCTAACAGCTAAGCATAAATCTCTGAATCACAGTCCGAGCACAGCAAAAGAACCCTCTCTCATGTGTTAAAAGCAACTAGTGCTTGCAAGCCAAACTGACATGCTATTTCAGAGCAAATATTTACAGTTGCATGGTAAACAATGTAGGGAGAGACTAGGCAGATTAGCTGTATTTACTTGTGTTTTGTTGTTAAACTAATTAAAATCTACATTATCGATGCTGTAAAAGGTCCCTTACCAAACTGAAAATAGTCTTATCAATCTTTCATCTGAAGATTTTACTGGCTGAACAACACTTCTGTGAAGATATAACCCATTTGTAACAACAACATCTAACGTTTAATCAGCTTTGCGTGAAGCTAAAATAGTTTTAAAACAGAACATTACCTGTCTAAGAGAAATCTTTTAGTCATTGTGTCATCCTTTCTCCAGCGTGCAAAAGTAACTCAAATACTGATTCAGGTTTTTAAAAAGTTTTGATTTAGCAGGTTTTTAACGATCGCGTGCATGCTCTATTTCCCTCTCGTGAACGCGCGGCAGTTGGTGGAGCTGCGTTCAAAAGGTTGCGTAGTTGTTCAAACCTGCATTTGCTGACAGACAGATTGGGCTACTTATCGGTAATATGAGAGATGTCGGCCAGACTCTATTTGATTGGATGAACATTTTTTAGATTTATGCCTTACCCAAAACATAAAAATACATATAAACACATTTAGATCATTTATTTTAATCATTACTATTAGACTGTGAAGAGACTTTTGTTGACCAGCACAACAAAAAATGCTTTTGAAGACAATCACCTACTGCACCTTTAATGTTGCATTAATCACACCGTATGCGCTTTTTGCAATAAGAGGTGCCTTTTTTGAACGATTTACTAACAGCCGCGAGTGCGCCTTAGCTAAACCAGCCTTAGCTGTTATGAACTGCCTATTTCTCTCAGCCTGTATGCATTGAAACAGTAACTCTTGCCTCATTGGGGTTCTCAGTAGGGAAGTCTTCCACTGGTGGGATGATTCCCTGAGCAATCAGCTGACCATAAGAGGGCGGGGCCTGCTGCTGGATCAGTTCAGCCTCCTGCCGAGTGATTGGTGCGAACAAGCTGAGAAAGCAAGAGCACACAGAAATAGTAAGACACCACATAGAAAAAGGCACTACTGAAAGTCATATTTAAAAATCTTTTAAGCTAATCTGATGACAATCTACTTTAGGATGTTTTACCTGTACTCTCGCGTACGTAGTGAGTACAGCTTACAAGTGCAGCCCATTGCGATGACAAGCAGAAGTCCGCAAACCAGACTTCCAACAGTAGCTGCGGTTATGACCTTTCGGGGCAGGGTGGCAGTGCAGTTAAGCTCATCGGTGCCATCCTTACAGTCCACCTGTCCATCACAGCGCCAGCTCTCAAACACACACCTGCTCAATTAAATAAATGGCAACACATGTAAAACACACAATATCCAATCAAACAATGGGCAGAACGCAAACGCTCGTTTCTAACCACACACAAACCTGTCACTGTCGCAGTGAAATGTCCCAGGTTGGCAGATGGTACATTCTCTTTCATCCGTTCCATCGGGACAGTTGAGCTGGTAGTTGCAGCGCTCGTGAAACGAATAGCAGACAGGGTTTTCTGTTTGGTGGCCCGCTTTCTTAATTCCTCCCATCGCACATAAGAAAGATCCAGCCTTGCAGCCCCAGCACGCTTCCTCATCCAGGCCTGTTTCAGGACAGTCCCAGTGCCCATCGCACCGCTGGTCTGCAGTGTAACAGCCTCCAAGTGATCCTCCGCAAAGCTCCTCCCATGGAAGGCAGTAATCTGTGATGCGATAGGTTGCATTAAAGCCCCGACCTTCCAGTACAGGTTCCCTGCGGTAGATCAGCGAAAGCAAGCCAGTGCGAGATTCCACTTCAACTGCTTTGTTATTGGACACAAAGGTGATCTGTAGTAATCCAAGAGAGGCAGCATTAGACTTCATATTAACAAATGTTGAAATGGTATGACAGTTTGAACCAGAGATGCCCAAAGTAGAGAGGAATGAAGATGAAGAGAGTTGGGGTGAATGCCTTTAAAAGAGATCATCATTTCTAATTTGACATAACATTTTTAGTTTGTTTGTTTTATTGCTGTGCTACAAAAAAGCCAATCGAAATTAAATGTTTCAATTAAATGTTGTAAATGATTTTTTAACATAAGAGAGGACTATACAGAAGACTCCATTCTGTTATAAATGAGATTGCTTTCGTTTTTTACTTTAATAAGTTTATTATAAAATAAACATGCTGTATTAGTTAATATAAAGCAATGTTTTCTAGTTATTCTTAAATATGATAAAATAAATTAGAAAATTAGCCATGGCAACTATATTAACTTTCGCCCACAAGCCTCAAACAGGTTTGGTTTTTGACCCTTCATATGAAAAAGTTTGGGCACCCCTGGTTTAACTGAACAACAAGTTTGACAATCAGAGTTTCTACTCTAAGTCAAATATCAAATTCCCTGAATCCCCTTGCACCGACAACAATGCTGAATATCTATAACCTGTAATGATTGAGATATGAAACATAGGCCTCTGTTGTTTTTTTAATTTTAAAATGTTTTTTACTTGAATATTATTTTTTAGTATTTAGTAGCCACTATCTGAATGACAATTTATAATTTATCTTCAAATTTGGACCCTCTTTAAAGAGGTTATTTTGAAGTCAAACTCCCAAAAGTTATTATCGCTACATGCTAGCTTTATTAAAGAGGCACAGACTGCATTTTACTTAAAGTAAGTTATTGCCAATTTAAAAAAGGAAAAGAATGAAGCAGAAAAATAGCCTAACTATAAAAAACAGACATGAAACAATAAGATCCCATGAAATTGAAATAAAGTTTTTAAGATGTTAGTATAAGTATTGTACGTTTTTAGGAAGTTTTTTAGGAAATCTATAAGCTAGTGTGCTCCAAAACTCGTGTTTAGAAGATTTAAACTGATAAAAACATGTAAGGCTTATAGTTTGCCACTTCCGCCTAAATAGATCAATGTTTTTTCCCCAATCACCTCATACTTCATTTCTTATCAAATCGTGTGACCAATCAAATGCTGTCTAGAATCTGACATGCACCGCCCCCATCAAGACGCTTCACATTTGATGCAGTTGAGGTCAATCATTTTCACTGGCAGAGCACAACGCTACTGCTTGTTTTATAAAAAGGGAAGAAGCTACACGATGTTCAATCCTGTCTTTGTGTTTCGGTTGAGATTATGTCAAACACTGAATAAAATGCACATTTTAAAGCACTTCACGGGACCTTTAAACAAATATGGTAATGAAAAATGACATCTAAATAAATGCAAACTAAAATTCAAAGCAACAAACTAAATGACTTGGACAGAAAAGTATACTATTTACCTGACTTTCAATGTCTAGAATAGGCATTTATAATTCAATAACTCGTAAGACCCCTGGACAATGCAGAGTAAAACTCACTGTTTTAATGATGTTCCCCATGCCATAGGGTTGGTCTGTGATTGTGATCAAGTCCTTAACACCTAGGTCCAGTTGCTGAAGCTCTAATTTGAGCGGTCGTGAATCTTGGGGGTCAACTGTCCACACACATTCCATCTTCTGTCCTGTGGGGACAGGGGGAGTAAACGACCCATAAAATGCTTTTAAGTATCCTCCACATGGCCCTCCTTGTGGCAACAAGGGAAAGTCCGGGATTTTAGGAGGGGGTGCATCTGTGCTCAATAATGAGATTGTGGAGGTGGTGGTTTCAAAGGGAGGGAGGTCATTTAGGCTATTGTCTATGGGTGGTTCAGGACTGTAACATCCGTCTTCGTCCGACCCAAGTTCATCACCAACACCAAGGCATTCAACTCGTCCGTTACAGCGCCATGATGCCGGGAGACAACGCTCACTGTAACATTCAAACTCGCCTGGAAAACAGGGACCTGAGTCTGGAGAGGTGGAGGAAAAAGAATTAACACTCCAGATAAAATGTTTTACAAAAACTACTCATTTTCTTTCACTGTGATGAACCATACCTTTAAAATATGATAGACGGAACCCTGTTACAGGGAAAATATGTGGAATGAAGTGGTGCGTCACTGTAATGTTTCCACCGGTCATCTCAAATGGTGCTGGAAGCTGGGAACCACAGAGTTTGAAAGGGCTGCCAGTGAGAGGAACCACAGAGACCCATTGCCGCCCACATCTCATATTAAACTGGGAAAAACTTCAAAACACATGCACACAAAGGAAATTTCAGGTAATCTAAAAAGAGATCATGTATAGATCAAAGCAATCTGTCACGGTGTAACAACAAGAACCGAAATGAGAACAGATCATTCAACATAATTTTGTTGAATTTCTTGTTTTAATATACACACAAGGTTTAATCATGCACAGAAGCTTTCATTGACAAATCAAAAGCTACCTGATGATCACACGCTCCCCAACTTTCGAGGTTATTAGCCAACTGCAGTTAAGTGTATGGTAAGGCCAGGAATGATACGGAGAGTTATGAATCTCTCCTTGTCTGGATTGAAGTATTTTGGGTGAATGATCACAAAGAGCTGAAACAGTCAATAAACAAAACAAATCTTTACAGTTGTGCTCTGGTCTACAACAATAAACAAAATATATGACTTGTTGGAAGATCTATCATTTGGAATTATTTAAAAACATCTAAACACAATTCTGAAGGATGCAATATGTAAATGTGATCACAATGGCAAAAAAAGTTTGCACCAAACACCAAAACAGCTGTTTATCTTCCGTCAACATGGCAAATTCACATGAAAAACCTGAACATAATGCATGGGGAAATATTTATTTCTTTACAAAACTACTACATTTATTTTGTGAACATTTGTTTCACAACCGTAACTCTGATCCGATGAAGTGTTTGTGATAAAAGATTGAATGACTAGCACAGGACAACCAATATGTAAACATATTTGACATACCGATAGCTCAAAAATATTATGAGATTTTAATTGTAATGCTTAAATTTTGTCTTCACAATGACTATTCTAGTCAGGAATGTTATATTTTTAACTGAGGCATTGGGTGTGGATGTTAAAGCGAGTGTTCAGACTGAGAAACAAACAAATGACCTGTTTACACCCGGCAATAAGATGCATTTGGTCAACTGGATGAGCAGTTAGACACATTCTTATTTACACTTTTTTTGTAATTGGTCTCTTTTGTCCAACTTTAAACCCTTTCCTGTTAATATGTTTGGGGGTTTTCTGATCTTTCCATCCAATTTAGTGACATAAGTATGCAAAAGCAACATATGATTACCAAAGGGGACATCAGCTTACATTTCTGCTTTGACAACCGCAAAGCTATGCCGAACTCTTTGGGTCGGTTTGAATAAGGACTGGTTAGAAAAACTGCTTGAAACCAAATGTACAATCTCAAACGGCAATGGCTGACATGTTAGCAACACGTCCTGTCTTGTTTAAGAACTAGGTCAGCAGGCTGGTATTTTTGTGGGTGTTTGCTAAATGTCAATAAAGCGCTTACACTATGAATGTAATCTGGTTAATGTGTTATTAACTACCTATAAAAGTGTTTAAAAGTGGATTAACTAACAACATTTTAGACTGTATTTACTAGCATTGTCTGAGTGTGATTGAACTGACAAAAACATTAGAGAAATGTGAAGTGCTTTCTTACCAGCACTGAAGACCAGCTTCAGAGTGCAAGGAACTGTGGAAAGAGAATACAAAAGTTATTTACATAAACAAAAAAAATTCTAAACGTTGTTTTTGGCCATTTATCAAAAATTAAATGTAATCATTTTTAGGTTTGACCCTAAAGTTGTGTTATGTTATGGGAAGGTAAAGTTTTTAATGTATGTTACCTAAGCTAAGTCATAAGTGTTAATTTTTGGATTTTATACATCACCAGAAAGCTGAATAAATAAGCTCTTCATTGATGAAGAGTATTGTTTGCAAGGATAACATTAGCCCAAGATACAACTATCTGAAAATATGGAGGGGAAAAAACTATTGCAAAAATTGCCTGTAAAGTTGTCCACATTAAGTTCTTAGTAGCTTTTTTTATATATATTTACAGCAGATAAGTAACAGGTAGATCATTTTACTTAAAATGTTAATGACTTTTGGCATAAAGGTAAAATTGCAAATTTTTCAACAATGTATTGTCTTCTGGGGGCAACACGGTGGTGCAGTGGGTAGCACTGTTGCCTCACAGCAAGAAGGTTGCTGGTTTAAGCCCCGGCTAGGTCAGTTGGCATTCCCGTGTGGAGTTTGCATATTCTCCACGTGTTAATGTGGGTTTGCTCAGGGTGCTCCGGTTTCCCCCACAGTCCAAAGAGTAGGTAAATTGGGTAAGCCGAATTGTCTTTAGTATATGTGGGTACAACCTGGTCCTCCAGGTTGGGGGATGAGTGTTGGCCAACAACCCACCTCATAAAAACTAGATGTTACGAAACACCAATATGTTGCGGCTAAATATCAACTTTGATATAAATGGCCTAGGGAGTAATTAAGTAAGTAAGTATTGTCATCTATTTATACAAATGTAACTGCAACTTAACACATATAAGAACAGTTTTCCTCAGATGTATACACATAATATAAAACTATTGCTCCCCATATTTGTGTTAAATACACTTATAGACAAGATTGTATCTTACCTGTTAAAAACAAAAGACCTAAGAAGCAAAGGCTGTGTAAAACAGACATTCTATCAAGCCAGTTACTGTCAATGATTCATGAAAAAAACTAATTAAAATACAATTTATGGAAGAATTTTGGTCAGTTTATCCATCAGCTCGCCACAATGACATGCGCCATCATCACCAATGCATCTTGCTGGAAGTGTTTAGCTGTGAAGACAAAAATAAATGCCATAACCATTTCAGACAAAGAAAGCAGGCTCTCGGAGCATATATGCCTTTGTTTTTTTTTTGTTTTTTTAACAAATGATTCAATAGGAAAACTAGTGTGTCAACATACAATATGTCAACATACATTATGAATTCGACATAAAAATACTCAGTAATTGATTAAAAATCGATTTCGAAAGGATGACTTCCTGTCTCACTTTCGTCCCAACAGTGACGCAAGTCGGTGTTAGGCAGAATAGCACTGCGATGTTTATTCACGAAACAGTCAAACTAGTCAGTGACACTTCATATATACAGTCATGAAATATACTTAAGCTCGTTTCCTCGAATTTAAACTGTAAGAAATGCAACCGACTAGCGTCTAAACTGACATATAATTCGGAAAGTTTTCGCCAGCTTTTTTTCACTCGCCTGATCTTTGCTAAAGCTAGCTGGCTTCCTGTCACTTAATCTACTACATAAAAGTACACAATTAAGGCATGGCGTCATAATATAAACTATTTCAAACCATGCCGCTTCGATTGTACGTACAGTATTGTTTTGTGACTTTATGTTTATCGTACCTTTTCTCTTCCTCGCTTGTTGACATTCGCTCCCAGCCACTTCCGTAAGTTCTGTCTCGTAGGTGGGAGAAAAGACGCCACCCATCTACGTTCCAGTGACGCTCTGCACAACGCTTTCAGTCTGTAATATTCATCTTCCAACACCAGATGCCAGCATATAGCGCTTTATTTCCAGCATTTGGTTGCCGTAAGTAGGTTACAGTTACACTTCTTTTACGCTTAGGCTACTCAGCTATTTGTTTTAAGTTGGAAGATTGATCATATATATTTGATTTCCACAACTGTCATCATGAATCAAAAAAACCTTTGTCACAAGTGTCTTTTTTTATTGAGGTGTATACATCAAATGAAAGCTGCATGAATAAGCTTTCCATACCATTGATGTACTTTGTTAGGATACGATAATACTATTTGACCAAGATCCAATTTTTTAAATAACTAGAATCTTCGTTGAACATGATTGACATGAACATGACATGGAACATGATCAATGACCTATATTTTCATAATATATGCCTACACACAATAACGTTTTCTGGTCCAGGGTCACATTTTCTAATATAGCCTAGTGTTCACTATTAAAATAATTACAATAAACTCTGTATTTTCGCTGGTGGAAGATAGACAGTAAAAGGCAGAATACTTTAAATCAGCGGAATCAAAATTTGCCTTTTGCTAAAGTCATTTGTTTTTTTTTTCTCATTAAAGTACCCACAGCACCCCATATTCACAGGAAAAACAGAATTGTTGACATTTTAAGGTTTAAGGTTTATTTAAAAAGAAAAACAGAAGTATCACATGGTCCTAGGCATTCAGACCCTTTCTCAATATTTAGTAAAGCACCCTTTTGTTCGAAATACAGCTATGATTCTTCCTTGAAGATCCTCTCCAGTTCTCTCAGGTTGGATGGTAGACGTTGGTGGACAGCCATTTTTAGGTCTCTCCAGAGATGCTTAATTGGGTTTAAGTCAGGGCTCTGGCTGGGTCATTCAAGTACAGATACGGAGATGTTGTGAAGCCACTCCTTTGTTATTTTAGCTGTGTGCTTAGGGTCATTGTCTTGTTGGAAGGTAAAGCTTCGTCCCAGTCTCAGAAATGTGACTGGTCCTAAGCACTCTGGAGAAGGTTGTCGTCCAGGATATTCCTGTACTTGGCCAGCACCTGATTTAAATAAATGAGTGTCACAGCAAATGCTCTGAATATAAATTTTTATTTAAAATTTTTATTATTTATTGAACAGCTTATAATTTTAGTAGAATGGTTATACTTTTTGGTGAATTTTATTGATTACAATTTTAATGTATTTGTTTTTATTGGTGGCCAATTTTTTACCATTAATTGTTGTAAAGTTAAGCCTATGTGTGTTTGAGGAAAAGTTATTTTGTATTAAAATTCTAACTTGTCCAAAGTATATATCTTCACAGAATATCTGCATTTTAAGGCAAGTTGGCTGAAATAGTAAAAGTAAAAGAAAAAGACCACAAAAGATAAATAGATATAGACTGTGCAGATGTTCTCCTTTGTCTGAGGAAGAAACCATAGCAACAGGCTACTCCAGCTGCAATCTGTTATATGGACACTGTGTACAAAACTACTGTAAAACGCAATAAAACAAATGTTTGAAAACAAAACTAATCAAGTGTTTGGAAAAATCTTGGCTGCAGTAAAATATGCAAGATAAAGTTCTTAATGTCACATGTATTTATTTATTTATTTATTTATTTAATTGTTTGTTTGTTTGTTTGTCTGTTTATTAGTTTGTTTGTTTGTTTGTTTATTAAATAAATAGATAATGATAATTTCTTATTTATTTATTTATTTAATTATTCATAAATAAATGTATAATAAACTTTATAAATAAATAAATTGTTTATTTATTTATTTATGAACCCTTATTTATTTATTTATTTATTTGTTTGTTTGTTTGTTTGTTTGTTTGTTTGCTTGTTACACATTACCCTGGACAACCAAATGCATTTGTTTAAGTGTTTTATCAGATTTGCTAATTCTCAACACCTGTCCAAAGGGAGGCTTGACTAAATGAAAATAAAATAGATACAAATAACATTATAACTCTTTACATAAATTTACTGAAGGCAAAAGCAAAGGCGTGTGATCAAACAAACTAATAGTAGACTATTTGTGCAAACACTGCTGTTTTGTTCTTAACCACTTTTAAGAAATCATTGTGCTTATTGTTGCAACAAACATTAAATTAAATTAACAAGACGAAATTAAATGAACAAAATAAAAATGTTGCACCAACCATTTCTAATTAATGTTTAAAATTATTTTTGTAGAAATCATGATAAATTACCTCTCAAATCTATACATTTTAAAAAAATAATATAATTAATTACAAAAGTGTCCGCAAAGACTGAAAGACATTTGCAATATACAGAGGATTATGTTGTTAATTTGACATTTCTGCTTATCAAAGAATTTAAGGAAAATATATGGTTTCCTCAAAAAAGGAAGCAGATTCATTAGTGTTTTTGACAGGCTGTTTATAATAAGATTTATCGTTACACAATTATTAATGACTGAGCATAACAATCATTATTTTATGATTGATGGCACTGGCAAGATGATATTGAAAATTCTTTGAATCTCAGGTATAAATGACACTTTAAAATATATTTACATAAACAGAAAGCTGAACAGAAAATACTTTTTTTAGGTCTACTACAAGGGAGATTCTAACATAAACGTACATTTTCACTTATAAAGAATGTGACAGGGCCTGACTTAAGCTTGTTGTAAAAATTTATTAAACAAGCATAAAATGATACAATTTGATGATAGCGTGCATCCTTGATCACTGTCAGATTTTTCAATATATTTTTTAGAACAACCCTTTCCCCATTAATTAAACCCCATACAAATGGAGGGAATATATTAAAAAAATAAAGATGTTATAAAAATAACAATTAAAATTTTATAATGTAAAATAAAATAAATAAATAAATAAAAGGTAGTGCCATCATAATTATTTTTCAAGGGATGCATTTGTACATCAAGTTACATAGTGTTACATTGTAGTTACCTCAAGTTACATTAGTGATAGGTTAAGTAACCTCTAAATATACATATCTAAATGTTTTAATACTATTCCACCTCTTTCTCCAGAAAAAAATATATTATCAGACATACTGTTAAAATTTCCTTGCTCTACTAAAAATCTTTTGGTAAATAAATAAATAAAAAATCTAAAGGCTTTTAATAATTCTGATTTCAACTGTGTATCACAGCAAAAAAAAAAAAATGTCGTTTGCGCAACAAAAGGCATTCGTTTCTGACAGAAATTCCTATAAAAAGTCAACCCCCACATGAAAGTCACTGAATAATTCGCACTGAGAAAAATGCACATCTGCAGGGTCGATTCTTTCCTAACTCCTCCTCCCTGTTAGATGCTCTGTAGAGCAGGCGCATTTCCACAGGGGACGAAAGAAACAACCACGTCTCCAATCTGACACCGAAAACCGCCTGTGGAGATCAACGGAGGACAAAAGAAATCTCAAGTGCAGGATGACAATATAGCACAGACCTATGATTAATATATTTCACATCTGAAGACATCTGAGCTCCAGTTTTACTTTTGGAAAACTCTTCATTATGATCGTGCGTACTTCTTAAGTTAGTCTTTTTATACTTTGGAAAAACTACAGACTTTTACCATTTTTAACGATTGGAATGGTCTGACTCAGGAAAAACTAACTGAAAAACTACGAGGAAAAAAATCGTAAGAAAACGGAGCCTTGAGCTTTTTTGTGTCCCGACTTGAGTACCGTCGCGCATTAAGGAATGTTACCGAAACTGCAGACGTTACCTCGGCTTCTGCCTCTCGCCCTCGCAAGTGTGTTTCTGGTGCAGAGCGGGACCAGTGACAAAGAAGTGAGACCAGAGGTAACAGAAACTCTTTTAGATGCTGTATTGTGCGCATGTGTTCCTTTCAACTCTGTCTGTAAGTCTGTCAAGTCTATATTGAACACAGATGCTCTCAGATGTTTGCGCATGTCGGGATTTCCTTCAAGAAGTGTAGCCTATTCATCATGATTCACCGATGAGTACAGATAAAAAGCTGCAGACTCTTAAAAATCAGGTTAAACCCAAACAAGAGTTAGTCAGAGGCTCTTTAGCTAGAGGGTTAGTTATTAAAGTGTGTAATTCTGTGGTGTCTGCCCTGCATCTCTAGATTCACTGTTTTTTACTGGACAGTTTGTTTATAAGCCTCATAGCAATCCTAGTGTCTGTTTCAGAAATAGGCCTACGTGTCTGGTAGACACATAACTGAGAGGGGAGAGACCGAACCGATAGTTTTTCAGGACGTTTTGGCATCTCTGTCACAAATGCAAGACAGAAACCCTAACAGGATAAAATAAAAAAACAAGATCAGAGAGAGGATTTAAGACATTTTAATAACTGTCTCTAGACGTATCCCTCCATTCCTTTCTCTTACACTCCTTCACATTTCTGAGATGGCTTAGAGATGTACCCAAGGATGGCGTGGAAAAAAATCAGATTCCACCAAAGCTTTCAAAGGTTTTCAAGGACAATAACAGTCTCCTGATGTGAGAGTCGCGTGATCAGAAGGCAAGGTCATGCAAAAGGTTGAATCACAGATGCCCGGCGCATGCGAAACTGCAGTCACTCTTTACATTTTTCGTTTTGACCTGATCACAGTATTTCCTAATATGCATTATAATTGAATGTTTATTGGTTTTCATGAGGTGTACAACTTTTTTGTTTTGAACTTTTAGTGAACTTTCATATGCATTACATTACAGCTTTTGTTGGACTCGCCTGGGTTTAACAATCTCTCAGACAACTGCCTTGCACTTTTGGTGTTGTTACAGGTGCTGTTATTTTGATTTTACAGCACTAAGAAAAAAGCAAAGCAAAGAAAAAAGTTTTTTTTTTACAGCAAAGAAAAAAGTCAGAAATTCACCCATATTCCTTATGAAAAACAGCTGGGCTTAGCCCCCCTCTCCAGACCATAGATGAGAGATGATGTATTTGTTTAAGTAGTATTACAGATGCAAAGCATCTGCTGAAAGTCTGCTGAATCCAGACCTTCATCGCTTAGAGGCTTACATACAGAAATGTGTCATGTTATCAGTGCTCTACTCAAATTACTGTAATTGAGTAGTTTTTCCTCAGGAATTGCAATTTACTAAGTAGTTTTAAAAATGTGTACCTTGAGTACATTTTTAGTGCAGTATTGGTACTTTTACTCCACTACTTTCCTTCAACCTGCAGTCACTACTTTATTTTCTTGCCGATGGGAATTAGAAAATGTCCAACCTAAAATCAATAAAATTTAATTTAACAAGGTGTACCGTAAGATTAAAAAAAGGGTTTTGTTTTAAAGAAAAAAGACATTATGTAAAACTGTATTTGGGTTTTATGGAGATGCACAATATTTCCCCAGTCTTGTTGGTAGAGCAGGAGTACCCAAACCTGTTTTTGCCTTGATTTGCTCACCTATGTTTTCTGCATTGTCTTCTATCTGTCGATTCGAGTCACTTTATTTACATTTGATAAAATCAGATTCATTTGCAGATACTATTGATTGAAAAGTTTAATTTCAGTTAGCTTTTTTTTTTAGCTAAACAATAAAGCAAACAAACAAACAAACAAACAAAAAGAAGGTTATATGAAATTAAAAATGACAATCTCTGTTAAGGGCATTTGCCCCAACTCTCCCTATCAATCTCTTCTCTGATGGGATGGCGGGCCACATCAAAGGTTACCATGGGCTAGCTTTTGCCATAGTTTGGTCATCTCTGGTATACAGCAATAATTGCTTATTTCTAATGTTTATTTACCAATATAAGTAAAATTATCATGTGATGAATTAAGGATTATTAATATATTACTATTATATATTATTATATTATGGAATAACTTTAGATGACTTAGAAGTGTTTATGCTAGTTAATCACTATGGCAAACAGGACTTCAGAATTACAAATTGAAAATGAGTTTGGGAAGACAAAGATCTAGGTGTTCACTTTTAGTTTTGTGTTTTTGTAATCAGGCTTTATTTACTGGCCTGTAAAGTTAAAGGCTTACAAATATAAGAGTAAAGTCAAGATCGAAAATGCGGCCAACTGGAATTGTGATATGCACATCATTATAGCAGCATTTTTATGACACTGTATAACAATAAGTAAAATTTTTACAGTACTGGGACATTGGTTTTTGGGTTAGGGTGGGGGTAGGCGTTAAAAAAAAAATTTATTGGATAATTTAATAGATAGCATGAATAATACTTGGTACAACTACTGTTTTTACATTACTGTGACGGTTGGGTTTAGGGTGGGGGTAGACGTTAATAAAATAAAATGGGAAATTTAATAAATAATATAAATAATTCTTGTAACTTCCAGCCGCAACCATATCCAATCTAGTAACAACCAAATATAAGACATTTGACCGTTATCTGCTGAAATTTTCATATTGGATCTTTCCTAGAGCTCAAAACAGCATGGATGATAATTTAATCCCTCTGTAACTGCTGAAATGAGAATTTACACTTCTTGTAATTAGTATAAAGCTTTAATTTTTGTCATATTCAAAGAAACTGAAGCTCTCATATGTTTTGGATAGTTGTATCCTGGAGGTGGGCAAATAAGATCTTGAATTAGTTTAGCTGCTCAGTTAAATAGGTCAGTAATGTGGTTCTCCATGTGAAGATGCAGAGTGAGACTTGGGCACTAATGTCTAAAATTTTCTGTTTTTTCCATTGGCACAGTCAAGGAGGAACGACTGACTCAGTCCTTCTGTCGTGCATTGAGACTCACCTCTGCCCTCATTTTTCTCCTTTTCTTCTAGCCTTTGTTTTTATATTTTAAACTCGGGATCTTTCTTAGGTTTTGTTTTTTCTCTCTCTCTCTTTTTAGTTTCAGCTTGCTTTCCCCCCTGTTTAATACCTCAGGAGCAGCAGATCAGCTGTTAAAATCATAAATGCTGCTTTTCCCCTCTAAGCTTGGAAAGTCTGACTGCAATATTTTCTGCAGAGAAGCTATAAGAATCAGAAAATAGGATAGTTGAGGGCTGTGAACACTTTTATTTTAGGGTAGTGTTAAAACTGTGCACCACAAAAACAACATGTTCTTCTTCCCAACTTGGAATGTGTTTTCCCATGTTGCGACACCATGAAATTGTTTTGTAGAAACTGCCGTCTTATCTTGGCTACAATTTTGAAGAAGAGCTGATTTAAACGCTTCCTGATGCATGTTTCAGTAACGTCATAGCCTGTGATTGCACTAAACCTCACATCTTCTGACCCTGCCAGCCACTATCATGAGTGAGTAAATGTTTACTGTTGAAATCTGTTCCCAGACCTGTGTGTGTGTTTGCCTTGATTATTGCATAAAGCTTTTCCAGACAGCCCGAGACTCAGTGAACTCAATAAAGGCTATACCTGTCTGCATGGTAATAGCCGACGCATTGGCCACACAGTGACTCGCTCTTCCTCAGTCAGGGTAACGAAGGAGGGTTTCTAAATGGGACCTTTGACGTCCAACGCTGGGAGCTCCAGAGCCATGGAGCATGCTGGGATTGCTGGCAGAATTAAGAAGAGACCAGAGGCTTTTCAGGAGGGAGAAGAGTGGCCTTCAGAGGGAGTAAGAGAGAGAGGGGGGAAGCGTTTTCATCCTCATGAGTTAGAGTGTTTTTACTAAAACGGGGTGCGTCACCACAGCGGAGCCACCACACACAGAAAGCACTCATAAAGGAGGAGGAATTGAATGACGGGCAGAGAGAAAGAAAATGGAGCAAGGGTGACCAGGTTAACATTACAGTGTGTTATCCAGATTTGCACTTCCTCGGCTAAAGAGTAAATCAGTGGAAAATCAACAGTGTCAATGAACCAGTGTGAAAGCACGAACTGATTTGTGTTGGCTGCTCTGTGGAAATGATTTCCGACTCACTGTAGTGTGCTCAAATACAGTTTTGTTGTAGCATTTTGCCTGTTGCTGACAATTTGGTTGTCTGTATACTTATTAGTGCTTATTCCTCTTCTGCACGCACACACACACACACACACACACACACACACACACACACACGCACGCACACACACACACACACACACACACACACACACACACACACACAGTTCTATAATTTACAACAGTTGTTCCCAAAGTGGGGGTCCAAAATCAAAATCCAAAAAACTAATTAATTTGATTAAACTAGTAGAATTAACATACAGACATACATTAAACTTACTGACACCTTTCCGGCACTCCTGTGTATATTAAATTATAATAAATTCAGGCCATAACTAAACATAAAGAATGGTCTCCGAGTGGCATTCTCCAAAATTAAATGACAAATAGACTTGGGCCTGTTGGTATTGGCCCATTTACAAAAAAATTATATGCAATGTGTTTCAGAACCAAGCTGAATAAATAGTTGGTAATTATGTATTTAAACATACTGCATAATACTGCATAATACCGGCAACCGTGATTTCCAGGAGTTCACTGTATTATAAAAGGTTACAATGCGCAACGCTTTACAGAATACTGTTTGATAACTTGTCAATTTGAGAACAGTTGTTTGTCTACAGTTTATTTCAGTTAAATAAAACAGACATATTCAAAAACATGTTTATAGAAATAGAAAAAATAACAGTTGTAACTAAGTGAAAATTCCTTTATGGTAAAGTGTTGTGTAGATGTGACTGTATTTTGTTCGCATACTCATACTTAGCCATTAGTATTGTCAGATCTTGCTGGAACAAAACAAGTCCAAACATAGATCCAAAATTTGTAAATAAGCCACATCTCAATATTACAATGTGCACCAACCTACTTTATCAACTCTATATAATACTAAATAAGCTCTTCAAATGCCTAATATGCACGGACATGGCAACAATTCTAGAGCATGCT